TCACCAACAACGCCACAGTATTGAGGATCGTCATTGACGCCCAACTCCGCAATTTCCTTCAGTATGGGCTTGCATGTCTCGATAGCTGAAAAGACACACACCTGAGTGAGTGTACAGCTCATTTGCACAGCGGCACACGTTCCAACAAATGCAAGCTGCTTCTGTCTTTGATTGTGCCACCCAGATTGAGTTCAAACAGGACAGGGGTCAGGTGAGGTGACTATTCGACGTCAAAATGCTAACCAGGGTCATAGGCAATGACCGCCAGACAGGATGTTTTAAAGTGCAAAATTTCATGGGCAATCCCACAAAAGACATACTGAGTCTCCACACAAGATGCGACGCAGGTCAACTACCCTGACACAATTGGGGCAACAAAAATGCCCGCAAAACTGCTCCACCAGCCCATAAAGAAAAGTGGAGCCCGTAAAGCTCCTTCATGCTCAAGTTTGGATAGAACAGGCTGCAATCTGCCCTGTGAACTGCACCTCGCAGGCTGCAAACAGATGTCGCACCAGCAAATGGCATGGCACAATCGCAGTTTTTTGAGAAAGCAAACGTATAGACATGAACAAGCCACCCAATCACCAAACACTGAGTCGATTGATTCGATAAACTTGTCAGCACCTGCACTGGGCTTTGCTTGCCTTAAATTTTCGACGCTTGTGGTCCATGAAGAACTTAGTCACCTTTTGGCAAGGAAAGTGTCTTAGCAACATTCCATCGTTTCTTCTTTTACTTTCTTTCTTCTAGTTACTTTCCTCTTCCTTTCTTCCTTTAGGAGGTAGCTCTATGCACTGGGTGACGAGTGTTCGTCTCCTTTTCTTTCACAAAGCATCATCCCGCTCACCTATGTTGAGGCTCCTCTCACACTCGCTCCTTGTGGATCCTGACACGCATGGCTCCTCACCCCAACCAACGGGGTTGAACGTCACACTGCCCAGGCATTTTGCATCTGAGTTGCGCGTCCAGTCGCTCCTTGTGCCCCCAACATGGGCGTACCACCAATCTGGTCGGTTTGGGTCACCAGTGGTGCAGAAGCGTCGAGCTGCATGCACAAAGGAAAAAGAGCTGTCTTTCAGCATGCTGGTATGTGTTCGACAAACCAAGGACTGACAGGAGTTGGACACTAATCCCTTCCACATCACTATTCTGCTCCAAAACATGAATTGAATCTCACACAATGCGAACAAATGGAGAAAATTGCTGTTGAAGTGGGAAGGTGTGTGTGTGTGTGCACCCTGTTTTGTTGCTGTCATTGTAGTAGAAATTAGAGTTAAGACAAGGACCCCCATGGAGAAAACCATGCAATGCATGGTTTAGTGCGAAGAATGCAATACATAATGATCTCTGTTTGCACAAAACGCCCTGTCTCCTGTGCCTCTGTGCATTCCACCGTCCTCATGGTTGCATGTTCTGAAATGCAGCAGTAAGCCCAATATACTGCAGAAAGCGGACGCCTTTGTGCACTAAGGAATTCTTGCCACATATCATAACCCAACCCCACCCCCCAACCCCACACTCCCCTTGACCCTCTCTGGCAGGTTGAAAGGCTGGATGTATCCACACAAAAGTGACCTATTCTGCATGTTAACAAGTTAGCAATGCAGGTTGTGTGACACAGAACACAAGGGAGTCATGTCCACTCACGTGGCTTGGGAAGGGCAGACTCGATGATGGCATCTGCCATCCTTTCCACGATTTGCGGATCTGAGTCGATGGCCTGGACCACTGCAATCGCCACACCCTTTGCTGCCACAACGTCGGGGTCCTTCTCCTGCAGTGGAGCATCTTCTGGGAATGCCTCGACAGTGAATTCTGGTGGCGCCCTCAAACCGTCCGCCACACCCGTCACGGTCTCCGTCTCGACAAACACCTCGGCGGCCTCAGAGGGATCTCCCGAACTGATCGCCATCTGCACTTCCAGCGTCACTTCCATATCTTCCACTGAAGGGTGACAAGCAATGCGAAGACGATAAGCAAGGGAGCAAATTGGGACAACATCGTCAACGTGGTCTTACAGATGCCCCACCCCTTTTCTGCTGTCTCGATGCCGCAAAGTGTGCACTGCCTGTTGCCATGCGTAATGTTTGAAGCAAATCAGCTACACTGTGGCCGGCCGTACTACGACCCTTGCATCAACCATCATCCCAGCACAACCCAACCCAGAGAATTTCAAAGTGGTTGCTAAAACCCAGAGAGGCAAGCCACCCAGATTGACCACCCCAAAAGTCAATCACCACCCTTGACTGACAGCATTACCTTGCATCTGCGACACAGGCGCAGCCGCCACCAGTATGGCCTCGGGTGGCAGGGCGACAGGACCTTCTGCAGGTTCCTCCGCGAACTCCCCTAGCGTCGGGGCCGCACCCGGCGATTCAGCAAACTGCTCTGGGACCACAGCCTGCCGAATGGACAGCTCCTGCCTTGGGGAAGGTGCTGCATTAGGAGAAAGTGCCCCTTGAGGAGGAGCCGCTCCTCGAGAAGGAAGGGATAGTTGAGGAGGTTTGGCCAGTTGAGGGGATGGAGCTGCATGAGGCGATTGGGCCACTGGGGAAGAGGGCGATTTGGAAGCAGGGGCGGGAGATGGGGCAGCTCCGGGGGGGGGACCGGTCAGCCTCAACGGCGGGGCGGTGGCCGGCGGGGAGGCGGAGGATGAATTTGGCAAAGTCGTGCCGCCGAATGGCGGTGAGCGAGATGGGGAAGGCCCCAAGGCGACGGGCGGGGCAGGAGAGGGCGACGGCCGGACGACGGTCAACAAGCCGTCGTCAGTAGGAATGAGATTCGAATCGCCGCTGGTGGCTTGGTCGGCTGGATCGATCGTCCCCGTGGCGGTCGACGGCCCCGACGCCTCAGCGGGGGGAGGAACGTCGACGGGCGGGGTCCGCTCGTCTTCCTGCGCGGCATCCGCCTCGCCCATCTCCTGGGGCGTCCCCAGCGCGTTGTCTATTATCTCAGCGTCGAGATCTTCATCCACCGAGCCGGTACCCCCTGCCGAAATGCGAACAACGGCGATGCGCCCTCACACACCGCCGATCGGCGCCCGAAAAATGGATCCCACCTCGAGGCATGGCGGTGCGTGCGCCGGATGGCCGAGGGGAGCCGGGCCAGGGGAATCGGCGAGGATGCGAAATTTCCGCCCGGAGCAACCTCGGGCCACTTGTGGGCCACCGCCTACAGGCAACGACGAAGGGCCCACAAAACGCGCGACGCACTCCAGTCGTCCGCTCAATCCGTCACCATCCACACCCACACCCACCTTCCAAACCCCACCAAACTTCCAAATTTCCCATCCAGCCCGGTGGCCATCTCCCCCCTCCCCACGTAGTACCCCGCCTCCCCGCCCCGCCCCAACCAAAGGCACTACCGACGAAGGCCGTACCTGTCACGTTCAGCGCCCCCGTGGCGTTAATCCCCACCGTCGAATTCATCGACGAGTTCGCCGCCGGCATGCTGCCCGCGGGCGCCATCGCCGGTTCTTCGGCCACGGGAGTCGGCGACGAAACAGACGGCGTCGTGGCGACGACAGTGAAGGTGCCCGTCCGCAGGGCGCCGTCCCTCTGGGCGATCACCGCGGGAGCACCCGCCCACAGCCACAGCCACAGGGCCGCAATCACGGCCCCCCGGAACCCCATGGCTCTGTCGATGTGCGTTTCGGGGGGGGCTGCTGCCCGCCTTTCCCTTCCCCCCTAGCTTTTTCCGGGGTGACCCGCCGCCTGTGCGCCACCCCCCGGGAAGTTCCTCGTCTTTGAGGGGCAGCCACGAGGGGGCCTAACAGGACAAATGGCAGCCGGAATTACTCACCAGCCGCGTGATTGATTGTACAGGTGCGGTTGTTGTGGAGCGAGCCGCGATGCGATTCCATACGGCCTTCCGACGTTTCCTCGCATCGTTGTCCCTGGCCCTATCTGTTGACGGTTGCCCGCCCGTCCCTCCGGGCGCGGCCCCAGCAAGGAGACTCGGGTACCGGAGGGGGTGTCTGTCATCGAGGTGTGCAAGCCCAGTTGGCACGCCCCGCCTCTTCGGACGGCCCAAGAAGCCCCGTTCCACGCCGTCTTCGCCCCTCTCTGGCCCGCCGGCGCACGAGAACCTCGCCGCTGTTTGCTTGCCGTTTTGCACCTCGCCGTCGGCCTTTGTCTTGCCTCGCTTTAGAGTGCTTGGGAGCGCCCCCTTCCTGTCCAATGTGCCGAATGCACCCCGCTGTGGCTGTTTTCCACGCGGGCCTTGTTTGTCAGCCGCAGGCGAAACCGATAGTCGTACTCAAGCCTGGCTGCCGCCGCAATTGACCGCGCTTGCAGCGTTGCAATGAACATGCCCGGTAGAGATGTCCAACGGTCGGCGACCAGCGTCCAATGTGCCGATGTTTCGTGGCAGCGCGTTCGATGTTGCTCGCATGCTTAATGCTCAGTGTGGTGCGCGACTGATGGGCGATCAGCAGGCCGACAGGTCGCCGCTCTGTGGCCGGCGCTACCCGCAAGCGTAAATCCCCCACCCTGAATGGCCAACCTTTGGACAATAACGTTGGGATACTTATTATTGGGTGAATCCTTGCATCCAATGGGCGAACGGAAGGCCGCCATGTTTCAGTGCAAGTTTGACCTTGCATTGGATGCAAGGATTACGATTTCAACGCCGTTCGAAGGAAGAAATGGTAAACTAAGTACTATAAAGTACTGTGCTTTGTGCCGTGCTTCCCAGCAATACTGGTTTTTGGCCGTGACGCCGACGGCCTTCGATACGACTGGGTTGTTGATGTGCTGGTGTAAGACATTGCAGAATTGGCCAGGCGGTGATGTTGACAAGCCTGACGTCAATGCATTGACATCAAACCTTGCCAACATCGGCTTGGGCGTGCTGCACTGCTGTCATATGGCGGCGGTGCACGAATGTTTCCATGCGCCACTCACCGCGGTAGGCGTTGTTGCGGCGGTGATCCCCATTCCATCAATTGCGGTGCGCCCTGGCGCGTGATGGATCATTTCTGGTGCAGGTCGTCCGCGGATTCAAAGTGGTCGTCAACGCACATCGATACTGCGGTAGTAAATTCAACCCTCCGGATCAACAATTGGACGTTACGCTTTTTGCTCCGCATTTTCTTCAGAGCGTTATCTTCAGCCTTTTGACGTTGTTCCGCAAAAGCTTTGCTAAAAGAGCGTTATTTATTTTATCGTTTTGTCCGCCAAAAGCCCGCAGCGTTACGCTACTACGCGGAAGGGTTGAATATGCTACGGTATTGACAGTATCGACGGTGCGATGAGCACTGAGCACACACCGATGTGTGCGTATGGTACCATACGCACACAAACTGCTGCCAAAGCGCCACTACAGGCAGTTTGCTCCCACGTTGACGATGGAAAATGCAATCTTCACGGCTTCTTTGACACGCTTGGCATGGGCAGCATACTATGGAGCAGTACCTGGTGCACGGGCTGTGTTTTGTCATTTTGTGACAAATGTAATCCATGGATTTTGATGATGATGATGGAGCAGTCACCGGCTGCGCTTCCAGCCGCTGGCACGGCTGGCTGAATTCCCACGGAGGGGAAGCACACCATTCAAATGACGTATCCCCGTGGAATCCGCATCGTGCTGCTGCCCGCACTTTTTGCGATCTGCACTGCCATGAGCCGCTCGCGGACCTGCTTCGAAATGCCGTCCAGGGCAAAGCCCTGGCCAGCGCGCTGGCGATTGCAACAACTCTGGTTCCAGTTCTCGGATTTCCAGGCCACTATAAGCAACGGAAATCACGGCACGTTCCAGCGTTGCCAGTCTGTCTCGCCGCTTCAATCCTAGCACGCTGGCCAACTAATGGCCCGCAATCTTCGCACCAATTTGATGCACGAATCTTTCACTGTCCCAGCCGCATCCACCACGAAGAGAAGAAAATCTTGCTGTACAATTCTCTGCAGGCCGCTGGGCGCACCGCCTTTGCTCCAGACACCTTGCGCAGTCCCGCGAATCGGCGCCGGGCCCCTCGCGCGCCCATGCTTCTTGAGCAGGGGACCGCATTTCGTTGCCCCTGCGGGCTCCAACGCACGCCGATCGGCCGCAGCTCAAGACTGTGCCGCCTTTTGATCTTCCGCTTCCTTGGCCACCTGGTTGACGTAATCCAATTCTTCCTGGTCGCGCAGGACGCCTTTGGGGAAGTAGTCCTTGAGGTTGGCGGCCTCGCGCAGCAGCCGGCGCCTTTCCTCCTCCACCAGGACTTCCCGCCGTGCCTCCGCTTCCCGCCTTTCATCCAACAGAATTGCCGCACGTCACCGTCATACAAAACCATGTTTGCAGCGCGAGCTGCGGTGCCACTTTGACACAAAGTGGCGCTTCATAGTCATTGGGTGGCGCAAAAGTGGGTGTGATGCCATCTATTAGTGCCAAATGGCATTGCAGTTGGCATCGCAGGAATATCTGTTTCTGCCGGTGCGCCTTGCCCGCAAATTGCCCGTAAATACAAAACATGTGACGTGAAAGGCCGTGCGATGTGTCGCATTCAAACGAGCCGTACACATTTTTGTAATTTAGTAATGTCGTTATGTAACGCGATCGCACCATATAGAATGCATTATTAATTTCGAAATTAACCTTCGCTTTTAAGCCCTTCCGCATCAAGCAATTTTACCGTTATTGCTTTTGTTCCGAATTCTTTTAAGAGCGTGATTTTTTTTGCGTTGCTCCGCAAAACTTTTCTAGAAAGAGCTTTGTTTAGAATATTGTTTTCTTCTAGAAGCGTTGAATATACTACGGTGATTTCGTGATGTCGTTATGTAACGAAATCACGCCATAACGAAATTATGCTTCGTCTATGGCGCACGCCTACCCATACTTGCACTTACATCTAACACAAGGATCGACATTTGGCACACAAACGATCGCTGAAAATCTCCCAATTTCGCTATATAACGAAATTATGCGCCATATATGGCGCGCTTCTTGCCCACAAAGTTGCGCTCACATCCCAAAATTCGGCGTAAATCGATATTTGGCATAGTTTGGCATTGTAAATTGATATTTGGCATCTAAACTAAAGGTGGGTAGTTTAAATTACGAAATTTCGGAGGCAGGAACAGCAACCGCGCCCTGATGCAGCCATTTCACGTTGGCACCTGGGCGGTGTGCGGAACAATGATCTTGGGGCATTGAGCCCATGTTGGTTGAATTTTTTTCTTTGTTTTTGGACCGCCGCCCCCGTCAACGAATCTTTGTATGCGGCTTTCTTTTGGCCGCAATTCATTAGTCTCTACGGAAATTTTGGCATATATATTAAGCGCTGGTAAAATCGGGCAAACGTCGGGCGAGTATGCTGAAATTCAGGGATGTCAGTAAAAGGTTGACTGGCACCCGTGCCGAATATCACCTACTCCAGTGAAAAGGCTCCCATTTTCGTACGGTGGACTCAATCGACGGAGAACTGAAAACAGGTAGTGGCGCCACACGCTCATGGACGAGGACCTTCTCTATTGATTGACCGCATCGTTTGTCCGGGACAGGGAAACTCGTGGAAAATGGGGATGGGTGGTTCTGAGTGTAAGTGAACGAACATTGAGACATTAAAAAAATGTTCGGAATTAGGCTTAACATCGCGTCCAAGGTTCCAGGGCTGTGTTTTGTCAAATGTGCTAGACAAATGTAATCAATAGATTCGAGCCACAAGTTTTTTTGCCAATGTATTTGTTGTGAAGCGCATTCATCTGAAGGGACGCGGTGAATCGCTTGGCAGGGTTGCGCACAACCCTGTCCACCGATGAGCGCAATGCGCTGCTGGACATCAAGTTGTCCACCAGTGGCCCAATAACGCTGTGTACAATATCTGTTTCGTGTCGCAGTCAGCGGGGTGCTTTTCGAATGCATCAGCAACATGACACACGACACGGCGGGCAGCTTGACTGGCCTAAATTGCGACACTGGACAAATGTCAGCATACAAGTGAACGCCGTGCAAAATGGGCAATAATCCTTGTTTCATATGCTCATGAGTCAGGCGTGCAGCGCTCTGACATTTCTCCACCTTGCCCGACACAGGACGCAAGGAACGCCAGTGCAGCGCAGCTCGAAGTTCCGCGCGTCGTGCAGTGCAAATTTCTATACCTTGCACCCCACCGAAATTTGCGCCTCATTCCACACTCCATTTCATGCATCTGACTTTGTGCAAAGTGTACACAGAATATGTATGCTCTGTTGCTTTGTTACCACCAACTCACCTTTCCATCTCCTCCTCCGCCTCCCTCCGCAGAGTCTCCTCGTACATGGCTCGCTTCTCGTCGATGAGGCGCTCCACCTCGCGCCTGTGCTCCAGCTGCTTCATGCGGCGGCGCTGGGCATTCATCTGATCGATTCGATCATCCTCCGCGAATTTGCGCACCATCTCCTGGCGGAACCTCTCTTCCTCTTCCCGCCTCTGGGCGTCCCGTTCCGCCTGGAGGACAGGAGAAAGCGCGTGGTTCAAAGGTGGCCCTTTAGAAATCGCCAATAATTTTGCCCCTTAGAATGCGCAATTGGACTCCCCATTGTAGATCTATGTATCGGTCTATTTGCGGTGACAAATGCGATGCCGTTTCGACACAATATGGCGCCATCACAGTGGTTGCTATGGCATCAAAGTAGCTGCGATGCCATCAATTAGTGTCAAATGCCATCGCCGTTGACATCGTAAACATGCCATTTCCCACTGGTGTTGGAACTCGCCATTGAAATTCACTACTTAAAATACGCCATTTAAATGCGCCATTGTGGATCTATTTTCTGTAAAAGTGGTTTCATTTCCGTTCAATTAAAATTAACAAACGTGGTTGCAAACATGTATAATAGATTTCTGAGCTAATTGATAAATAGGCACGATTGTCGACCATCTATGGGCCGGCGCAATGCTTGCGCTGTTGATGGATTCAAGTTGCCAGGGGTGGCATTCACGCCCCAACATTTGGCTTCCACGCTGCAATGAGGTAAGATGAAACAACACAGATGCTGCTTTGCCTGGGCGTGTTCGCCAACCGAAATTAGACTTGAATGTGTGTCCAAGGCAGAGGAACGCATGTATTTATCGCTGGTTAAGTGGTTTATAAAGGATCATAGAATTTGCATTAATTCGTTCAGTTCGTTCACACGTCTCAGTGTGGACGCAAAATAAAATAATGAATAAATGATTAAATAAAAAAATATACCAAATAATAAAAAAATAAAAATAATGAAATGTCCGGTTCCCCTCTGCGTTACACAAATGGAAGCGATGTGCACATGGATGATGTGCTGCAAGGGCATATCTCGTCCAGTGCGGATTGATTCAGCTCCGGCAACTTTGATTCATGTACTGCTGTCCATACAGTACAACCTAATGTATCTCTTGCAAATCGTGCGCCGTTGGTTATCTGAATTGGCCCCCAATCTGCAATTCTCCCAATACACTCACGATATTACCCTCCACCATCAAACCACCCTCATTAAATCATATCTGCGGCCATCATGTAGAAACTGCATTCTCATCAGTATTTGTGCACATAAAACCGAAAATTTGAATTATTGAAAAACGGTACCTCTATCAAAATACCAAAAACGCCAATTCGCCAAGTTAAGCTCTTTCCGGAAAGCATTCTTCTGTGATGGAAATTAAATTAATGCTGCAGTGTTATAAGATCGCCGTCGACAAGTCCAGGAGGTGTCTTTCCACGTTGCAGGCAATGGCGGGTGTGTTGATGTGCGCCCAAGAGCGTTTTTGTGCCCCGCATCGTTTCAGTTTATCAGCTCTCCAACTGTGTGGCGATGTTCAGGCATTGAGCAAGACGTGCAGCACTACATGACTGATGTCCCGATCCTGGTGAATCGGCTGATCAAAACTCACCAACACTAGTAAAAATTATGCCATGCACGGTTTCGAAAATCGTGTGCCGTGTAACACAATTTTAAGTCGTTATCAATCGTGTTAAGTCCTTTATTTATCGCACAAGAATTGGACTAAACCGTGTAGTAATGATCGCGTGAGTGCACACGATTTTGGCATCTTTTGAAACGGTTTTGCTCAAATTTACACAGTTCCGAACAGTGAATTTTGGCTGATTTTTCACTTGCGAAACTACAGCATATTTTAAGCTGATGACATAAAATGATGTCGCCATGCATCACGAGGCCACCTTGAGCTTCATCTGCGCCTCGTTCTCCCGCATCATGGCCTCCCGCTGCCTCTCCGCCCTCTCTCGTCGCTCCTCCGCCGCTTTCTGCCGCTTCTGCTCCTCCTCCTCCGCCCTCAGGAGATCCATAAGCCTCTCCTCCTCCAGCCGCGCCGCAATTTGGGCCTCTTTCTCCCTGAAGAGGCGCCGGTATATGCGGTCGGCCTCGTCCGCGACGGTCTGCTTCCGTGCGGCTTCGTCGCCCTCGCGCCCGCGCACGTGCTCCCAGTACTCCATGATGCGGCGGTCCTCGAGGTTTTCCTGGGAGCGAATAGCAAACATTTCCTCGAGTAGAACTTTTGTCCAGTTTTTATGAATAAAACTCTATTTAGACTTGATTTCTTGTGCAAAACGTTCTTCACATTTTTTTAAGTAAAACGATAACTTAACACATAGAAAGGCTGGACTGTTCCATTTTTTCTTTTTCCAGTTTCGATTCCAACGCCAGAAGGCACTGCGCCCCGCTCAGTGAATATCAGTGCACTTCCTGTTGTGTCTTCGAAGAACATTGGTAATACATGCATGTGATCCATTCCATCTAACAGACAAATTGTGACCAACACATTTTTTGCGCCTACATTGTGAGTGCAATGCATGGTCGGTCGTACAACATTTCAAGTGCTTTAAATGGACTCAATGAAAGCATTATTCACGTCAAGGCAAGTCCTGCAGCACCTCCCGAAAGCAAGAGGGTCGTTGAATGATGATATACTCGATACATTGATGAAAAAGATTGCGCAGCGTATAGCGAAATTTAAACAAAATGGCTGTTATGAGAACACGTGCTCTGTTCTAGCTCTTTCCGAGCAAACACAGTCATCTCTGCCGCGCTGAACTTTGAGGGTGGCCGTTCACGCGACACGAAAAACTTTTTTGACATGCAACGACCAACGAGCGCAGCATCACATCTCGTTGTTCATCGAGTCCTGTTGTTGTACGATACACGGACGTAGGATTGCATACTAACAGCAGGTGGCAAGCAAGTTGCTTGAAGCAACCGTTGACGCGGTGAACAGCATTGAACGAAAACTGCGAACAACGAAAATTGCGCAACCCAATTTGAACTGCGCGGCAGAACTGAGTAACAGAAATCCCACCGAATGACGACGTCAAGGAATAGGCGTTTCAACGCCCGCCACCGGCAATGGCATTACAGTTGCGAATTTTCAGTCCAATGTCGACTGTCCTTGCCCACCTTTTCCTTCTGCTCCCTCCTCAGCCGCTCCCGCTCTTCCAGGAACCCCTTGACGTACTCCAGGGTCTCCTGTTTCTTTGCCATCTTCAAATGCGCCTCTGCGGCGTCTTCCTCCTCGATCCTTCGAACAACCTAATCAGGTGCAACAGGTACTCAGTGCCTGGAAAGCAGATTCTGTTGCACGCCGGACTCTGCATTCGAGATAACCATTGCGCAAGTCGTGACAACGACATTCTCAGCACGCCACCGCAACACAGTGCCTGTGCTCGCCGCCACGTGCAATGCGCACAGACACCAATTTGCCGACAAATTTCGAAAACACATTTGCTCCATATTTTGCACTGTACTGACATATGCATAAAATTTCAACAATTCAACTGATCCAGTTACGACACGGTTCCAGTGGGGCCGCCAAACTCCCTGCCAAACCAACAGTCCATCGTTGCTTTCAACAGCACGCCAAATGACACTGTCTAAATTGACAGGCACTTCCCAATCGCAGGAAATTCCGGTGGTGCATTCAATGCGTCGTTCACCTCATCTATCATGGCCTTCTCCTTGTCGTACTCCATCTGGGCCGCCCTCTTGGCCTCCTCCTTTTCCTGCATCTGCTCCTTCAGCACGTGCCGGCTCTTGATGTTGCCCTCCCGCCGCAGCCGCTGCTGCTCGTTTTCTGCTTCCACGCCCTCCACGCGTTTGTGTTCCATGAGCTCGTCGAACAGGCTGTGATACTGTGCCTCCTTGGCGGCGATGATCTGATGCTCCATCTTTTGAAGGTGCCGCTCCTTGTTCACTTGGGCGGTGCGGATCTTCTCCGCCAGCCTGTGCAGTGATTGCGCAGTTTAAATTCCTTGCTTATATTCACTAGAATGAAGATTTTCCCAGAGGTGACCTTGAATATATGGATGATTCTACCAAATCAATGCAGTCGAATGAATTGAAAATCAATGCACAGTAGATTGTGCGGTTGAGGACGACGGAGCCCGACGAGGAGATGGGGGGCTGAGGGGCAGCACCGACGCATTTGGCTGTTTGGGTATTGTGAGCAGCATGACATTCGACATGCGTACTGTGCCAGTGAACGCCCCCCATTTCACTGGCGGTGTCGCTTGGCAAGGGACAGGACCAAGCTCGGGACACAAAACGTGCAGCAGCATCTGACCACACGGGTGGAGACTAGATAAAACGAGGGGGTGCAGTACATGAAAATGTTCTTGGACACACGCATACCCGTCATCGCCTACTGTACGCCGACTACATTGATTTGGGTAAAAGTAGCATAAGTTTCAGTACTTTACAGTGCTTGCTTGTACCAATTTGCGCTTAGATGTATGGGCACCGCTTTGTCTCGTCGAAGGCAGCTTTGAAGGACTAAAACTTCCCAAGGGCCCTCAGTTGCAACCAATGATGTTTGCCGCCACTTGCCCTTTTCGCGAGTGGCCCTTACTCCCTGAGCTCCTCACTGCGCTCTCGCACCGACTGCACTGCTCGCTCGCGGCGCTCCTTTTCGTTGTGGCGTCGCTCCAGCTCTCCGGCGATTTTGTCTTCTTCCTCGGACCTCTGGGCCGATAGCTCTTTTGTGGCCTGCACCTGCGCATTGCACGGTGGCGTTTGCCCTTGTTGGCGCCAATGAAAATGCCTATTTGTGTTGACACCAGCGCCATGCCGGCTCATGTAAGTACAAAAAATGTTGCTCAGAATCAGCCAGGTCATTGAGCGGCGCGTGTCCACTGAGCTTGCATGAAATCCCACAACAAAAGCCCTGAGATCACTGAGATGATCCTGCAGATTCTGAGGATCAATTTGTTGTGGGTTCGGACAGAAGCTGCATTAAATGCAGAATTGCAGAGACTGTGGAGCTGAGCGTTCAATTTCCTAATCCTTGGAATTTGGTTCTTCACAGCGAAACGAAATTCGAAAAAAAAACGTTGTGCCAGTTGGTTGACGCAGAAAAAAGAGACGCAACAGCAGAAGCTCGCAGACAACATGGGAACATTCTAATGTTTAATGAAGTGGGCTGTATTTGAGCATATTGTGCGGGGTCAATAATCGGCAAATCAACAGACATACTCGAGAAACCCTTACTAATTCCTGCTTCAGCCTGTTGCAGAAATCGCCATAAATATTATGTGGCACTGTTCATGGACACAAATCCAACCGTGCTCAAGAATCTGCTATTGATTCGAATTTGATCTGGATTTGCATGGAGGGTTGAGCACTGACCACACACACGCCTTTTAATGAAGGCTTTTTTCACATCTTCGGCAGGTGTGATGGTGTGACGCTGTCTCAACTGTCTGCATCTTGTTGAGCAAATTGTTAAAGGGCTTCACCTTTTTGCCGTGGACGATATGACAATGCGAAAGCACTCCGTACTGATGTGCGCCAAAATGGGACAGATTTCATACCAGCGTTACCAGCGCTCTGCTGAGCATATAGCCGTTTCGTATTCTGATTTTTGGGGTGTGGCTGAGCACACCAACGAGTCGAATTCCTGGGCCTTTCAGCTTCGGAACAGCGATTTGAGCAAGAGCAATGCCAACAGCGATATTGGGATGCCAACGCGACGGCTCGCTGTCATCACACCGCGGCCTGGACTGGTGCAAGGGGGTGACTAACCGCTTAGACACCGTTTTTATAGGGCAAAATAGAAAGCGAACAGCTACATCATTGCCTTGTTATGTACTGTTGGTTTTTAAACCTTTCCTGACAGTGACGTAACGCTTGCCCTTTCGCAGAGAAAACAGTAAACTAAATAACGCTCTTCTAGTAAAATGCATGCGGAGGAACGTAAACTCTGAAAAACAAAACGCGGAGCAAAGGAGTAACGGTAAAATTTTCCTGTGCGGAAGGGCTACAAACCCACGGGAAGAACAATGATCATGACTAACCGCCGGTGATCACGCCCATTGGGACCCGCTGGGCGCACCCACCCTGTACAGCCCCTCCAGGATGTCTTGCTCCGCCTGTCGCTCCTTGGCCTCCCTGGACCGCCGTCGCACGTCGTCCTTCTGTCGCGCCATCGAGTCCACGTCCATGACCCTCTGCTGCCCGTAGTACCTGCCAAAGGCCCCGGACGAAAGTCAAGCCACTGATGTCCAAGCCCTCCAGCTTGAGATTTTGCTTGGGCGGCGCACCATGGTGTGTGGGGATTATCCCGAATGCGGGGACTGGAATTGAAGGGGGAGCGGCGAAGGCAAGGGGCAGTGATCGCAGCAACCAGCGGTGGTCACGTGCCGGGTAGGGGGGTGGGAATGGCTGCCATCCATCGACGTGAGACTTCAGGGGCGCCGGCTTGCCATTGGAATGCGAATGCAACGTCGTCAAGGGGACACTCCCAAGGCAAGGGGAGGCGGTCGCGCCAATCAGCACCGATCGTGTGGCGGGAAGTGTTGAGGGAATGGGCGCAATCCACCGCCTTGAAAGCGCCGGTCCTGCGCTTTCTAAGTGCTGCTGGAGCGCAGGTTTGGCGCCCCATGAAGGCGCAAATGTGCAAGGCTCCAATCCAAGGGGCAAATGTGTTGGCTGGTGCAGGGGCGCCTGGGCCCATTCTTTTTTTGAGCGGTCGTTCGGTGAGGGAGTTCAGCGAGGGTGGGGCCCGCAGGCGCACCTCTTGATCTCCGAGCGGTTGTCCTCGATCTCGCGTCGCCGCATCTCCCGGAGGTCTTGCGCTGCGGGACGACAGGGATCGACTCAGTGCCGGGATGCCCATGCTCCTGGGCGCATGGGGAAAGCCCTGCAGAGTCCCAATGGGCTTGAGCCAACGGCAGGGCTGGCAAGGATGCGTGGTTCCATACGAGATCAGCTGACAATCGGTGAGGGTGAGTGCCGAGGGCGCTGTATCAGTCGACGTATGGATTGTGCTTTGAAGTGGTCGGAAATGGACAGTGCTTGGCGGGGACTCCTGGAGGTGCGGTGTCCCGGTTGCCACAGAAGCCCTGCAAACCCCCATCGCCAATCAGGAGCTGTGATGCAGGGTTTAGGGGCCGCGAGCCGGCGCTGTCTTTGCATCCTCACCGCGGCCTAGGGCCCCGCGCTTGGGCTTGAGTGAAGACACCTGCGGCGGTGCCGGCCAAGGGGGTCAATCAATGGTTGGCGAGCCTTTTTTGCCAGCGTCCTCGCCTTCCGCAGGGGCGGGCGCCGGGCCTCGTACGTGGATCGCGCCGCTCCGGTCAGCACCTTCCTGCTCTCAGCTCAAGCGCTCGAAACTTCGCGGCGTGGAAAACCATTTTCGGAGAATGGTTTTGGGAGCATCTCCCAAAACACCCCACACAGCCGGCGGGCACCCGGAGTCTCCGGCACCCAATTCCCTCAAAGTGCAAACTCGTCCAGCCCTTCGGACCTGGCCCCTTCATTCGCGCCGTGCGTGTGTTTCTGTCTTAAGATGTCTTACGATCAAACACTGAGTCCCCATCACACAAGAACACCCACACAAAAGCACTCTTTCACGGGGTGTGTGTGTGGGGTGGGGTGGGGTGGGGGTTCATGAATGCCAGCAAGTCGGGCAAGGAAGGGACGTTCAAAGACAGGCAGGCGTTCAAAGGCGTGGCACGCGTGCGGACGGCCTTGAGAGGGGGTTCTCACCATCTCTGTCGATCGGGGGACGCCGCCAGGAGCGGCAGGCTGCAGGATCAGGCGAGGGCGGGTGGTGCGGCGACTGGTCGTTGAGGCGGCGGGCGGGGGCCAGTGCTGCTGCGTGGCGCCCCCCGCTTGGCGCCAGGAAATCGTTAGCGGGAAAGGGGGCTGAGAGATTAGTCAGCCGTTTGCGGCGCAGGTGGGGGGAAAGTGTTGGGATCGATTGCTTTTATGTGTTCATTTATTTATGCACATATTTGCTTATTATTTATTCATTGCTCAAAAATAATCCGAATATTGTTGTGGGCGGTGCGGCCACGGCGAGCCCTGCACAATATTTGAACAAGGACCTACATTTGGTGGGCGGAGGGCAACATTCATCTGTTTAAGGCGGGATTCACATCATTCCAAAGTGCGGCTATCGTTTGTAATGTGTGTTCAATACATTGATTATAATTATCAGTTTAAAGAGACCGAAGTCGTGTATCTTCCCCTTGTCCTGGTGCGTTTTCATCATAGTTGATTGAGTTTGGCAGCTTGCCAAACTCGACCAACTGTGATGCCAGTGGCAAGCTGAAACAAGCGTAATGTGTTTTCCATTTCTTGATTGTCTTCCTAGTTGTCAACCCACAGTTAGGAGTTTGCAGAGTTTTGTCAAGCCCAACACGACAAGGCCAGCACCTGTTTGGCGGTTTGGAGAGGAAGAGTCAAGAGACGCCTCTGTTAACCTGCTGTTGCACAGGCAGAGGAGAGGCCCTAGGGCCTCTCGTGCCTATGCAACAGTAGATCAAGCAGCAATGGTTGCTAGTGCCAGTGCCATGCCAACGGTGGAATCTCAACGTGCAGGCTCGGACCTGCACGTGCCCTATGCAAGCTAGTCCGGACTAGCTCCCGGAGGCATATACTGTCGACCCATAATATATTATGGATACATGTATATGTGCCAACAACTTATGTCAATTCTCGACATCCTGTGAAGCATCAATCACAATATTGAAATGGATGTTTCCTATAGGATAACACCCGGGGGTGGTCTCATCTCGTTGCGTCTCGATGAGGGGCCGCCTATTCAATCGGCAGAAATTGCAAAGGCGGTACAGATGGGAGCGAGAATTTTGATGTTGTCCAGTGGATACCTTTGGGATAGATTGATGATCTGTCCCAACAAGCACAATTAAAAGCAATGTCCAAAGCAACTCCGAAAAAGGGTTCCTGACATCCACTGCGCACCTAGCGCGTCAGTGGAGGATTGATGCCAACAAACGTGTTTTAACTGCAATCTCAGGGAAAAACTCGGAAAGAAAACTCACAAGGAAACCTCCAAAAAAGCCTTTCTTGACCCCCAATGATCACCTCTGAACCCAACGGATGATTCACGCCGAGGAATGTGTTAAACGCAATCTCCACACAAGCAAAACTCACAAAAAAATCTCACAAAGAAAACAAAAAAAAAAACACCGCAAAACAACTCAAGAAAAAGCCTTTCTGAACAAAAGAAGTCGCCTGCGCCTGTGAGGCCGAGTGTGCAGCTGCTCGCCAGCCCCTTCACGCGGCTCCGCCTCGACCCGTTCGGCTGGCGATCGCCCACGAGCAACCATGGCTGCGGCCGACGGCGAGCGCTGGCGCGACCTGGACATGCTCCTGACCCGCCAGGGCAATGTGGTCGGCCCCAACTTCCAGCCCGGATCCCACATTCGCGAATTTCTGGCGGACTGCCGGGTGCTGCTGGTGGGCGCCGGCGGCCTGGGCTGCGAGGTGCTGAAGGACCTAGCGCTCTCCGGCTTCGGCAACATCGACGTGATCGACATGGACACGATCGACGTGTCCAACCTCAACCGGCAGTTTCTGTTCAGGTGGGGCCGCGCGAATGCCGTGGGGCAACATTGGTTGCAATAAAGGCATGCCAAGGGCACCCCGTCCTAAGCAAGTGTATGCAAGAATTTGTTCCTTGCCGCGAACAGATGATATAGAGTCTACGATGGGAAACGACGAGCACACAACGCAAGACAATACAAAAGGATGGTTTGGGAATGAAGGAGAGATTGTTAGGAGACAGAATGACAAGATGTGATCCCATCTCGCCTCCAACTTTGTGGAGATTTAGCGGGAGCACGGATGCAAAGCCAGGCGGGTGCAAATGAAAACACCTCACAAGTCAATGCAGAGCGTCCAATGGCAAAGCTTGGAGTCGATGGGACTGCGATTTGCCGTGTTCAGGGACTCTCGAGGAATGGGTTTGGGTGGATCTTAGCGCGCTCAGAACGCATCACAGGAACGGTGGGATTTGATGGAAAGGGAAGTTGTGGAGATCTGGGCCAGAGAGGCACAGAGCTGTGGGCTGTGCCCACAGCGTGATGAATGGGACATTGGCAGTGCGGGCGCAAGGTGGCTAGTGGAAGTCCTGGAAGAGTTGTTGCATTTGGAAACGTGCTGCGTGTGTGGCCTGTCCTGTCCAAAGGGTGTTTCAAGTTTTGGGAATGTGATTGATTCACTGAACATCCTTACAGGCAGCCTGAAAATTCGCCACATTGGTCATGTCAGGCGTCTCTGCTGAACTCAAATAGTCAGACAGTGTTCCCTTGCTAGCGTCTGCACCGACCTCACAATGATTGGCAAATAATCCCACCCACCCCAGCATCAAGGAACACAATGTACATAGGTCCACAGACAGCAATGCACGCAGGAGAGATCTCCGATGAATGTCTTTTGGGAACGTGAGTGCTGTTGGTTTTTAAAACCTTCCGCATGACAACAGAACACTTGGCATTTTTTCCGGGAGAAAACAGTAAAACAAATAATGCTCTTTTAATAGAATTTGTGCGGAGCCCTGTCAAAATAATGAAAAAAACGCTCTGAAAAATATACGCAGAATCAAAAGCATAACGGTAAAAGTTTTTCATGCAGAAGGGTTGAATATACTACAGTATTTGGCAGGACTCATGACTGGGGTGCTGGGTGGGTGAATGAGAGGGGCAGGATTGATTTGTAGCTAGTGGGAAGCTGCACATTCAGTTGAACATTCCTTGCTTGGTCCTTCTGCAAGCCAAAACGAAGGGGCGTTGATGATCAAAACACTGCTGAGCTAGTGTGTTGTCACTCTTTGCCCTTTGATTGCAGCCTTTGCAGTTGCGATCGTTGTGGTAATGGTCAACACAGTTGCTATTTATCTCGTGGCTGCAAGAGCCCAGCTGCTAAGAATTGCATTCGCACACCGATTCTCCCGTTTTCATGAACAAATCGGCATTGGCACAGATCAGCAAAATGTTTTGTGGAGGCCTTCCGATGGTGGCCGCTCATACATTGACTAATGTTGGTGCCAGTGCTCTATTGAATATGGCCCATGTAGTGGCCAAGGGCTCCTTCAGCTGACATCGATTTGTAGACATGCACTGAATCCACGTTGCATTTGATCCACGAGCTACATAAAAAATGTTCTGCAGCTTGCTTGTGTCTCTTTCTGACATTTTAGCAAGTTGCTGAGCTGGACTGGTTGATTGGAGCTTATGAAAATCATGCGTGGTGATGATGGCATGGTTGGAAACATTTCTGATTTTGTCAAATGTGAACTGCCACATTGGGGAATTTGGCGAATTTGGTGATGACACTTAGTGGGTGTTGGTGGTGTTGGGTTGTTGCTGTTGGAACTGGGGCGACATCTGCCGTTTATCATCATACTCTAACAGATGGCTTACCTTCTGTTATTGCCATTTTAGATTTAGGTGCTTGTTTCCTCTTGCCTGGCATACTGGCAGTTCTTCTGGCTCGTGGTGGAACTGTGTATGTGTCATAGACACCAATTTGCTGCTGTGAGCAGTATATCGCTGGATAGGTGCCTGGATAGTGTTTGTCACCTTCCTGGACAAATGCGACAAGTGAGAGAAGCGCCGGCCAGCTAGCACTTGTCATTCCGAACGAAGCCAGGAATATGTAGTCAAGAAAGTTTGAGAATTGTCATGTTGCATCATGGGTGGTGGTTATGTTGCTACAGCATCTTCCCACGATTTTCAAGCCTATGAGGAATGAAATAGTATTCCATTGTGGACCTGGGACGATGGTGCACTGGGACGTTGCTGACCACAGATGTCCTCTGTACACTATGCCTTTGTTGGAGATCCCATTGACACTGTGACAAATCATTCCATGTCAGCTGCGGTCGAATGGCTTTCAGGTTTCATTGGTCTACTGCCGTCAGCAGGCATTTCGCCTATCGTATGACGTGTTTGCATTCTGTTCAAAGGACAAACTTTAGCCTGTTGTTCATCCCAGGATGCAAGACGTTGGGAAGCCAAAGGCAGAGATTGCAGCAGCCCGAATAAAGGAACACGTCAGTGGCATCACTGTTACTCCGCATTTCTGTCGCATCGAAGAGAAGCCCATCAGCTTCTACGAAGATTTCTTGCTGGTCGTGCTTGGGCTGGACTCGATTGAGGCCAGGAGATACATGAACTCAGTAATGTGCAGCTTCCTCCGTGGGTACCACACATCTGCCGCACCTTGGCAGCGATTGCACACCACTCTTTTATCTTTAGTGTTTTGACGATGCCATTGACTCTGCATTTGACATCGTGTGCCTTTACTTTAATTTTGGCTTTGGTTTTGAGAATGTCTGCCAACTGCAGCAAGGGTTAGGCGCAGCTGTTTTCATGTCAGCTTTTGTGGTGCTTTTTGGCACATCTGCACTGAGGTAGTGCGAGTTGAGACATTCATTATCTCTGGAACAAATGAGTAAGTTGTACAATGATTCAGGACTAAACACTGTGGAACTGTGCCCTTTGCCACCCAAAGGGTTCATTGTGTGCATCAATGGCAAACGCAAATGATAGGCAACTTTGCACTCCAGCTGCCACAACCGATTTTCTGAACTCTACAAAATTACCAAAGGCCACTGCAGAAGGAACACATGCTACCGCTCCTTTTCTTCTGCCATTGACAGAATGCTCGTTGTTCATGCATCAGCACTAGTTCATTGCGGTGATCTCAGACACCCCCACTACATACTGCTGAACAAGGCTGATTCGCTGTTTCATGTCGATGATGACCAGTCTGAGTGTGCGTTTCCATAATTGCTCAGGTCTTCTGAATTCCAGTTTCTTGTGGCAAGCTTTGTAATGGATATTAACAGTAATGGCATCACCTTGCCAGTGAAACGATGATGACAGTGGTAAACAATGATGATGAAAACGACGAAGATGGCACAAATTTGGTCGTAATAAAACTGTGCTTGTTTCTGAGTATCAAGACCCACTTGGATTGCTTGTGCATGCAAAGAGGATCACTGCCCTGTGCCTGTTGGGCACTGTTGGGCTCTCGTGTCTTACTGACACCCTGGCACTGTTCTTCTGCAGAGTATGATGACGAAGGCAATCCAGATCCAGCCACCATAAAGCCAATGATTGATGGTGGGAGTGAAGGTTTCAAGGGCCATGCAAGGGTCATCCTTCCTGGCCTGTCTCCCTGCTTCGAATGCACACTCTGGCTGTTTCCACCTCAGACAAAATTCCCATTATGCACCCTTGCAGAAACGCCAAGGTAAAATTCCCTACTTTAAGAATCAGCACTGCTCTGGCATGCAGTATATTGGGTGCGGCATATAGTAGCTTCTGGGCAAAGGGAGAACTGCAATAGTGCAGTACCTGTGGTTGCTAAGAACCCAAGCGGCACAGTATTGACATCCAGTACACGCAGTTTGTGTTTGTCCAATTATTTTGCAGCCATCATTTCGGCTGCAATTGTTACACTTGACAAGGCTGAGCCCTTGCACAAGCTTGTTTATGATGGGTGCCAAGAGCAATTGCAGAGTTTGCTCTATTTCACCCTTTCCTTTCTGCTTTGCACGACTGAGAACCTCCTTAAGGAAGGAAATGCACCTTATGCACATCAGTGGTATATCAAATCATAATAATGCCCTTTCGCTCCCAGGCGATGCCGCAGGCAACCCCTCAATTGTGATTAACTGATTCCTGTTGTGATTATCTGATCCTCTGGATTGACACATGTTCTGCAAGGCCAGGTGTGCTATAAGAGATGCAGTGACGGATGCCAACATGCAAGCATGCTTTTGACAATGTGCATAAGGAGTGATGCTTGAAGGAGCAGTGGCTGCCTCTGTCCTACTGCGCTCACATCTCTTGATGATGCCAGGTTGTGCCATCCTGGGCTGTCATTGTGATGAGGTTGCAGAGTGTCCTCATCATAACACTGTCTTCAGTCTTTGGCACGCGACTCCCAGAGAATAACTGTTGCCCTAAAACCAGGCTTGTAGTTGCAAGGCGATGCAGACGAGAGCCCTCCATATATAATAATTCATATATTTGTATATATTCATATATAGTAATATCCAATAATTAGCTTCAGAACTACATCCAACCCGATCACCTGACTGTTTGCAGTTCGCAAGGCTGGACGTGTCAAGTTCCGCGCGCCACATTATGGTGTCCTGTTATCTCGTGCACACTGTGTTCAATCCTGTGTTGTGCCATTTGGCAGAAATCCAGTGCACTGCATAGAGTATGCCAAGCTCGTGCTGTGGTCACAGCAGCGACGAGGTGAGGAGTTTGATCCTGATGTTGAGGAGCACATGCAATGGGTCTTCAAGAAGGCAACTGAGAGGGCGAACTTGTTTGGAATTCAGGTGGGTGGGGCGCAGCGAACCTCTTTAACCATCAAGCTTTCTGCTGTTGGTCTGGCTCTTAAAACATCTTCCATGTGTCAAGCATTCGGCATCAAATAATGTGCATGTCCTCTGCGTAGGTGCTATTCAGCAACTCTCCACATGCGCTGCTGCTGTAGTTCGAACCAATCGATATTGAGGGCATGTGGGGAGCCTGCCTTTTGCCTTGCACATTCTTCACAGGAAGTTCTTTCAGCCAACCTTAATTCTGGCGACCGCGGATTATCTTTGGCTGTGTCGGTCGAAACCTTGTTGCAGGGAGCTCTGGTGCAGCAGTGTGCAAGAGTGTGTCCTCACATCTGCAGCACACGTTTGTGGTAGTTTTTTCCTTTGCTTCCAGGATCTTGCAGCACATTTGAGAGTCTAGGGGTCCACTCGTGTCCCTCCTGGCAGAATGGTTGCTGTTGCTGCCATGCTGTTGTCCATCTGCTCACAGAGGCCTGCAACACTGTTAAATGCGCCCCTGTCGCTTGCACATGAGCCAACTGCATGCTAACCCCACGCTCATGTCCCTAGCTTGGAGTGGTCTGCACATCTGAAAGAAGAGAAACACAGTTTACCATGCCCCTACAACCCACCCCCACCCCTCACCATAAAATCTGCACCCACGTGGTATTTGTACCCAATGGCTTCCCCCACTCCCCTCCCCTCCCCCGCTGTTCACACTAAAAGCAGTGTGGATTGAGCACCACGAGCGTGTCAATAGTCATTGCTGCCTTGAAGATGCAAGGGCAGCGCTTAGTATATATGCAGAGGGGTGACAGACAAGATGCAAAGTGAGTTTGCTGTGGCTGTGGTGTTTTCACAGGGATTCACTTTTCAGTTCACCCAAGGCGTCGTGAAGAACATCATACCAGCAGTAGCCTCCACGAACGCAATCGTCGCTGCTGTCTGTTCGCTGGAGGCTTTGAAGATGGTGACGGCATGCAGCACGGGAATGAGCAACTACATGATGTAAGTGTGGCATGATTATCTGTGTTCGTCAAATGGGAAAACAAACTAGCAGCAGTCAAGAATTGATGACCAAGTCGGCATATGTATGGTCGGTCACCAGCCCTTGAAAAGCAGAAGAGGGACATGTGCCATGCACAGGCTGTCCAGTTGGATTTGTTGGTGTGTCAATGGTGCGATGCATGGCTTCGCTTCTGCTGCTCCTCGCGGATTGTGGGGAGTGTGTGTTCAGCTCGGTTTAGCCAGCACTTGATGTGGTGTGCTGTCTGTTTATCAGGTACATGGGTGGCGAGGGCATATACACCCACACGGTTGCTTATGAGAGGGACCCAGAGTGCCTTGTGTGCAGCCCTGGCATTTCGTTTCCTTGCCGACGAGACATGACCCTGCAGCAGGTTTGTGAGCACCCCCAGGCAGGGCTGTTCTTGCTGCCACAGACCCAAATAGACCTACCCTGTATCCTCACCTGGAATCCCACTGAGGACTTAGAATTCGGAGGCAGACCAGAATTGCTGAAACAGAATTTCCTGCGACTAGGAGTCTGAATCGTGTTCCTGCTGTCACACGCCCACCTGCTTGTGGCCATGTGATGCCAACATGTGCTGTTGGTCTTGGAGTTCAAATGTTGGAAGACATGCAGTTGCCCGTATGCCTATGCGGCGATCACCCATGGCTGCCTCCTCGACAGTGACACATCGTTGCCAGTGTTTGTACTCGCTGATTCAAAGTCAACCAGATCAGGAACAACGTTCGTTGACAGTGCTGTATGCAATGCTACTGTTGCTGTGCCCGCCTCCATCAGCGATATGGGTGGGTTGCATTCTTGTCAACGAGGGATTCTCTGATGGCAGCCATGTGCTCGCAAAGGCATTGGTACGGCATGGCGCAATGAACAAGGTTGCGACCACGCCATTTGGTCACACTCTAATGCGCGGTGCATGTTGGATGTACGGTGTTCAGCAATTTGGGGCGCATGCTGTGTGAAGCAGGATTACCCGATGCCTGTCATTTCCGGACGTGAAGGTCATGAACGGTGCTGGGGACCTAAAACCTGTAAACCTAAAATCCTGAAAACCTAAGTACCTAAATACCTAAATACCTAAATATTTAAATACCTAAATACCTAAAAGCTTGAAACCTAAAAAGTAAGAAACTTAAAACCTTGAAACCTAAAACCCTGACAACCTTGAAGCCTTAAAAATCTAAGCACCTTCGTCACGAAAATGGCTTTGTGAACTTCGTGACTCCGTGACTTCATGCCCACATGCCCTTCATTTCCGGACATGACGTCATCATGACCATGTGCAGTCATGAAGGGCATCGGACAACTGTGTGCCAAGCTGACGTTGTGTGCCTGCGAAAAGGTGATCGACATCATCAAGGAAGACGAGAGGCTGGGCACCGGGCTGGAGGCGCCCAGCCTCAGCTGCGGCTCAACCAACCTCTACATGCGAGGGGTCTTGGAAGAGGCGACGCGACCAAACCTGGAGAAGCGCATGGGCGAGCTGGTGCCGGAGGGCAGCGTGCTTCAGGTGAGTCATCGACAACCGCTTCTTGGCGTGAAGAATTAACAGATTCATAGATTTGTGTTTAGCATTAGACTTCAATGAACTGACCGCAGACGCTGCTTTGCTCGGGCCACATGGGACGCTGACGGCTACCTCGTTGCTTGTTTTGTAAAAGTGATGATGGTGATGCTTCAGGTGAACGACAAGAATCTCAGCAGGACGATCAGGCTGCGTTTAGCCTACAAGGACGGTGTGGATGAGGACATGCAGATATGATTCGGGCGGACAACGAGGGGCTGGGGCCTGTCATGGGCTTGGCTTGCAAAGTTGGTGGCCATGGCATTCTGCAAATGGGTCGGATGTGGCGCGGAGCGTGGGGAGAGTGGCTTGGAAAGATGGGATTTTTGATGTTGCATGGGAGGGCAGCGTAGGCCTTTGGCCGCCCTTGTCCAAGAATGACAGAGGGCAGTGTTGCGCAATTGGATGCCAGCGGGATGCCACTTGCAGTCCAATTGAGGTTGACGTGTAGAGGGGGCCAGAAGGTGGCGGGCAGGCGCCTATGATGCCCGCTAGGAACGACTGAACCACACAATGCGATTCCGTTCTGTGTACAACGGTGACAGAGACATACTTGTGGTGTGCTACGGTGGGTCAACCCGCCCCATGGTCAGCTTAGGTTTGGGGCAGGAGGCGTGTGGCCGCTGGTAGACGACTGCAGAGCGTTGCCACTCTTTGCCTGGCCTGCACTTCGCATCCATCGCCACAAAGGTCGCGTCACAACGGTCAATAGAATGCATGGGCGCCTGGCCCGTGGCAATGTCAATGATCAGTGGCCAAGGGCGCAGCCATGGCTGCATGATCGCCTTGGTCACAACCACTTGCTGGGTGATGCGGTGGTCGCCGCATCGTATAGCAAATGTTCGATTACAGTCCAATCTGCTCAAGTAATTGGCCATCACTGTAATCGAGAGAAAACCGTAGAGAGAGGAAAGGCCAATGTGCTCAGCAGATGTTACCTTGAACCGCATGACATACGGTTACATTTAGCAGTCCTACAGCTGCTGAATGCTCAAGGCAAACGTGCGCACGCTCAGCTTCTCTCCAGTGCACATGAATCGATGCATTTACAGTTGAGACATCCTCCATCTCGCTATTTTGCATTGTCACTCATCAGAACCGTCCAGAATGAGCAACAATGATGTCAATTGAAGAGCACTCTACGGGCAGCACGGACGGCTGTGACTGAGCTGTAAACTGGTCAAGGAAAAGGACGAAAACCAATCAGCTGGACCTGCATGCTGACGGGATACAATACAGTTTTTCAGTGATGGAATTTGGGTGTGCAGACTTGGGATTAGTATGCGATTAGGATAGATTTTCCAAGACTATGAGCCGGGGACAAAGAGGCACGGTGTGTGCAGGGCGTGTGGTGAGGGTCCCTGAGTGAGAGTCTGGCCGGTTTGTAAGGGCCTCTTGAGTGACTTTTGTAGGGAAAAATGGCCAATTCCTGACCTGTTTTGAGAAGACCATGAACCGTAGGGGGTGTCCTTGAATGGACCTGAACTGTTTCAAAAGGTCCTAGGACCTTGACAGGACAGGTACTGGCAGGGCATAGGGGTCCATTGAGGCGTGATGGGACGTTGTGTGCGGCTGCTGACAGTACATTATGGTTTAGCGAGTGTACAGGCGATTGCCTTTTTAGCAATTCGTGTATTGTGTTGTGTCGTACATGTTCGGCACATCCCCACATCCTGCGCCCCCAAGGCCTCCGCGCCCCGTGATCTACCGCTGGTCCCTAGGAATGCGTAGAGGCCATAGGGCCAGTTGGAGGCCAATGAAAGTACAGACCAGAACGACACTATGAAATTCTGTGGGATTAGGGCAATACAAGTTGCGGTACGCTAGTGGGAAGGACCGTGAGGATTAGTGGGAAGTTCTGAAAAGTACAAGGGGTACTGAGGCCTTTTTCTCGAAGTGTCTGTTGGATTGTCTGAGGACCGTTGAAGTGTAGTGCTATTGGAGCCGGCGGGGTTATTTAGGAGGGGCTGTTTGGGGTGTGAGTGCTCCTCTCCCCTCTCTCTCCGCCCCCCTATCCGTCCGCTTTTGTTTCTTGTGGTCTGAACGGCTGGTGTTCTGTTGAGAACAGTCGTGCTGCGAATGTGTGGAGGTCGAACGTAGTCGAAGGGGAACGACTTTGTAACAAGCACGTTCGTTTCTGTGTGCCTTTGTCTCCTGACCCTCCGGGTCGATTGCCCTTTGGGTTGTGCACCGCTGCACATACCCGCAGCTCCGCGTGAGCTCGTTTCCTGCCTCGTTGACCGGCTGACCCGCGTGCGCTCATATTGGGCGCTGATTTCGCCGACTCGACGACGTGTCTTCATCGTCCGCTGCTCGGCGAGTGATTGGAGCGCAACGGCGGACCGCAAGGAACGAGCATCGACAACATCGGTTGGCGACATCTGAAGATTGGTCAGTACGCTCACTATCGTGAGCTACTGAGCGAGGTGTGGAGTGTCGACTCGCAATTTGAGCGTGTTTTTTCGTGCCTCTCTTAGAGCTGCTCAACCCTTGCATGTTCTCGTTGAATGTGAACGGATAAGGTGAAGTTGAATACGAAGTTCAGCACTGGGGTTGCGCCTCGCTTCGGCAGCGCTCGGCAACACCCCAAGAATCCTGTTGGGCTTGAATGTGCATGCTATGATGATTTTCTTTGTCCTGTGAGCTTCTATGAGCTAAGTTGTTAAAAGTGCAGGAGCGGAGTGCTCAGAACTCCTGGGCGATTGACAGGGTTGTGATAGTAGCTGTGCCCTTAACGACTCTCATTGAACGCATATGGCTGATCGTTGAGTCATATTGCTGGTCCTAAGTGTAGACATCCTCCTGTCGGTGCTTGTCAGCTGTTTGTAACATCATGGCACTCGAACACAAACCACTAAACGCCACTCTCATGTGTCGTATGGTTGCCGTAATACGGGATGCGTGCTGCCCACCCATTCAGACAGCATGGCTGTTCTACAGGGTCGTTTGCACAAGAGCATGTGTGTTCATGCGGCGTGGACCATGTCAGGATAGCAAACTGTGGTGTTTTCGGCGCCCTGACTGCCCTTCCCAGCGGCCGGTCTTTCCTGCAGTTCGTGCTAGGTCCTCTCGATCTTGCAAATGTCCCAGTGTCCAAGCAAATGCGGCTAGTGAAATCGTGGTGCAATGAAGATGGTGCGCGGTGGGTGTAGTGTGGGACGCCAGGTGGTCGTCGCACCACAATGACAACGACACGTCTCCATACTCTACTACATTCAACCCTTCCGCATACTAATGTAACGCTAGGCCTTTGTTCGCAGAGAATCAACAGAATAAATAAAGTTCTTTTACCAAAGTTTTACGGAGCAACGTATTACATATTTAAAAAATGAAAACGTTCTGGGGAAACATGTGGTGCAAAAGCGTGAAGGTAAAATTTCTTGATGCGGAAGGGTTTGAATGTACTAGGTAACGGTGCTGATGTGACCTAATCACGATACATGGACTGAATAGATGGCTTGGCCGTAAAGGGGCATCGCTGTTTGGAATCTGTCCGTAACCCTGTTGCCTCCGGATCGTTCCCTGGCCGCCTCCACCGGAACCGCTTCCCCAGTGGCGAAGCAGCCGGCGACATATCAGTGCCACATACACTGCCGCTATTCCTTCCACCCGGTTGTAAATGAATGACCTGGGCCACGCAGAATGCACTGAGGCCACGCTCTGCTGTCTCTTTCTTGATTCCAAAATACTGCACCATATTTCAGCAATAGCTTGGAACGAACAAAAGAACGCCTTGCTATTGCCTTTGCCATTGCAGTCCAGCCCATCGATTGGCCACACGTTTCACTTCCAAGCACGCTCCCAGCTGCTCCCAGCTCGAGGCGCGTTCTCACCACAACAGCACTCATGTCCTTTACATGAATTCATGCATTAAGACACCAAAACGTCGTTGATTAATCCTCTGGCGCAACACAAGATGCCAGTCAGGTGCGTCCCACTACCCTCCAAACTAGTCGCACGTCCAAGCCCGAGGCGGCCGACTGGCGCCCGCCCCCGAAGGGCAACAATATCAAAGTAGTGTTATCCGGCTCTCCCAAGCCCACCACAACGCACACACGCAAACCGCCCGTATCAATTACAATCGTGATGTGGCGTGAGAAACATCGATGAGGAGTCAAAAGCAATCACGTTAACCTTCTACACTAAGATGATGCTGTCCGTCTAAGCTACCTGCTTGCATCATTCCTGTGCATTGTTCAGCACACACGTACTGGCCGGTACACACTGCGCTGGCAGCCGAACCACAGTCCGCAGGACGCACACCCTGCCACCAACTCAACAATACACCTGAAAACGCTTGGCCGCCTGATTCCCGCCCTCCAGCCAGTGTGACCGTCAATTGTCCCATTAAAAAGACTTGTACAGAATTTCCAACACTCCCAAAAATCACAAAAAAAGCTCCGCACGGAGCTGTTGAACAATCATTCCTGCGCTGCAGCATAACCGCAATCCAACATTTGCAGCCTTAGTCTCAGCGTGTCCCACCCGCTAGTTCCGTGACCCCACCCCTCATCCAGGCCAAGGTACAACCTGGCTGTGGCACTCCTTCCTCCCCCATTCCTTCATTTCACACAGACACGAGGAATCTACAAACCCAGCCTGGGTTACCCAGTCCCCACGCTCTGCAACCCGCCCCTCCCCCAAACTCCCAAGGGTTGCAGGCCCCGGGATTGAATTTACTGAATTGCGCATTAATTGCTCACACCAAAATTGGGAAAAAAGCCGCCGCCCTGCGTCCAGGGTTAGGGGGGGATGGCCGTGTTCATCACCCGTTGCAGTGCTCGATGTGGCTGACGCCTCCAAGCGCGTGCTGCATGGGGAAGAACTCGTCGTCCTGCAGGCCCAGCAGCTGCCTCTTGTAGGGCCTCTCCCCCACCAGCAGCGTCGTCCCCACGCTCGTGCTGCTGGACCGCTTCCCCAGCATCTGCCCCCTGACAGCCGCAGCCGCCAGCTGGTGCGGCCCTGCCCCCACGGCGTCCACCAGGCGCTGCAGGCCCCTGAAATCGTCCTGGCCGAATGGCCGCACGCGCTGCGCCAGCGGGGGCTGCTGGTGGAGCTGCCTGCCGTGGAGGTGAATCTGACTGTGCAGGGGCCGCTGGGACAGCATTGACACCATCAGGCTGGGCGGGGCCTCCTCGCTGGCGGCGCGGTCGATGCTGAACGTGGGCGTGCCGGGGTCGATGGTGGTGATGCTGGACAGGGGCGAGGGGCTTAGCAGGGGGCCCGCTACACACAAGGGGCTGCTCAGCTCGGAGGGCGAGTTCACTGCAGGCAACACCAAATATCATTGTTGAAACTATGCCTTGAAATACATACAATACAGGTCCATGCGGGGACTGCACTGATATGCTGAAGCTGTGGGGTCATGCACAGAAACCAAGCCCAATTCTGCACTCCCCAAAGCGTTTTTGGCGCCATTTTTGGGCCAGACACCCTTTGGGCTGAGCGAACGTCAGCAGTGTTCTGCGCAAATGGCAGACAGCAAGCTGGTGCAGCCATCTGCAGCTAAAACGAAGTCAGCCAAACGCAAGGGCACGCAGACGTCCTGGGCGAATGTGGTGGGCCATTGGCAGCCGCACAGTTCCCAGGAAAGGCAACTCCCCCCAGACCACCTGGCCCGCCTAACTGCTGTGGTTCAGTGTCTCCCTTGGTCAAGCAACCAATGTGATGCTTGCTTACACTGACTGCACCAAAGTTGGTCCAAAAGCGAGTGCAGGAGGCCTATTAAGTGGCAGCATCTCAAGATGCAATAAAGCGCAACAACGTGCAATAATGAGCAATAATGTGCAATAATGTGGAGCCATGTGCAGTAATGTGCAATCAAGTGCAGTACTGTGCAATAATGTGCAACAATGTGCAATATGTGCAATCATGTGCAATAATGTGCAATCATGTGCAATCATGTGCTGGGCACATCCACTGCACCAACTCCACAACCCGAATCCCAACAACCCAAGACTGGCATATAGACAAACGAAAATACACGTCGATTACATGAAATGCGCAGTGATCATGCCTGAAACCACTATGGCACTGTGCCAGGTTCAGGCCCACTGTGCTGCAGCAATTAAACAACCCACTGCAATGATCGTCTGTAAGACGTCTGTTCCTTCGAGTACAGTGGCCAAAACACACAAGGTACCCCTCTTGCTCACAAGACCATTGTGGGCACAGTTATATCTGCAATACTTGCTTGAGTGTGTTTTGTGTGTTCTGTTTGCTTTACAGATTGCAGACATTTGTTTCATGTCCTTCAGGGGGAAATTGGTGAGGTGGAAATAAGGGAATAACAAATAACTGACGACCGTTTGGGTTGCCCAGCTGCCTGTCAACGCCTGCCAGTCTCAAGCACTGTGCTATGGCCCGTCAACGAAAATGAACGGCCCAGGGAATTCAACAAACGTGCATCGGGGGATACAATGTGCAGGGCATTTGCTGACTCACCAGGTGCCACAGCTTGTGCCTGGAATGCCAGGCACTTTGGAGCATACTCGCCACTCTGGATGTCCAACAGGTTCTGTGCCATCTCGTTCTGTGTGATCCAATTCTCCAGTGGCTGGCCCTTGAGATCGAGAGCATCGATGAGCACATGGTTGACCTCTGGAGTCAGCCCACTGACTTCCACCTTAAGCCGTCACCAAACAAGGCACATAGTCAATAACATCGGCACATGTTGACCTTCTTGTTACAGCTGTCTTCTCTGATAAACTGCTGGTCTTCCACCTTGAAGGCGAAAATGGCCAATTAGCACTGGATGCCTGCCTTGGAAATAAGAAAAGCCAAAGAAACCGCCACCACTTCGATCGCCAGTAACATAGCTGCAATATCATTCTGCAGTTCGATTCACCAGGACAGCGTAAGTTGGATCCATTGTAGCTAACCTGGCTGCCCATGTTCTGGACCAAAAGTCCTTCACACCAGGTGGAGTGGAAGTGTGTTCCCAGGTGGTATTGTTTGTGTTATGCAGGCAAATCCTTTCAATGAGTAGCAACTTTTGGGGAAATCATGTCAAAGCAGCCACGAGGTACTGAAGGCAAAAGGAAAGGCAAGGTCAAGGTCCCTAAGGTACAGACGCGTAGCTTGTCATAACATAGCTTGTAGTATGTAAAAACTGTTTGCATAAAAGTTGGGGAAGACATCAAACATTGAGTATTGCCATCTTGAGCACAACCGTATGTGAGACTCTTGACCCTGCTACGAAAGATCATGCAGCAATATCTGAAAGTCCATAATCCCAGTCAGAGCAGACTTCGAGCAGCACACCTTTGTGGATATTGCAAAGGCGCCTGGCAGAGAGCAAGTCCGCACGAGGAACGTGCCATTGGGGTGGCTCCTCAAGAGGCACTCTGAGACATCGCGGTCGACAGCAAACGGACAGATGCGCATCACATCGCTTGCGTTCCACAGGTGCTCGACGACCTTCAACGACCTCAGGCAGGCATTGAACCATGTCTGGAACTCATGCCACTGGAAGATGTCCGTGACACTTCCTGTCAACACAGAGGCCTCTCATCACCCCATACAGCCTGGGTCCATGTAAAGCAACAATTTCTCGCTGCTGTCCACAACAGTTCTGTGATCAGTTGTCTCACAAGATTTGCAACAAAATCAGGGCACAGTGACGCTCTGTGCCAATTCTTGGAGGCACTTCTTCCGGATGGCAACAAGGCAAAGAGGCTACCAGTTCCGATCGAATGTTGCAGTACCACAAAATATTCAGCCCTTCCGCATTAGAAATTTTTCCATTAATATGTTTCTTTCGCATTCCTTTGACAGAGCGTTGCTTTGGGAGCTGCGCATCATGGCAACCACTGGAATGGCGACTCTCATCTCAGTTCGCATAGCCTCAAAAGTTGGCTTTTTGCCACAGTGAGTCGTGCATCTTGGGCTGCCAGATGCTGAGAGCAGTCAGAGGCCCTCCCGTTGCGGCTGGGTTGCCCACAGATTTCTTGGCACCATTCCATTTTTATAGACATGAGTAAAAAGGTCAAATGTTACGCCACTATGTAAGGGTTGAATACTTCGCACTAACCTCCAATGGATAGTACTGCATGGATCACACAGGAGTGTTACCACGAATTCTGTAGGCTGCTGGCATTAAGGGGTATTCAGTCAAGTGACAGGCAGGTGTTTTGGACACTGTGGCCATAAGATCACCAAAGCCTCCGATCACTCTGAGGTCAGCAAAATCTCCAATTCATCCAAGACATCTGCAAACACACACTACTGACTATGCTGCTCTTCACACTGCAGGCAGATGTGCATCGTTTCCAGCAAGGGACAAATTTATCGAGAAAAGTGTTCAACCATGCAAATGCTGGGCAGCATTTGCATTGCCAGGGCAAACAATACAAAATATGGTGCCTTCCTTTGTTCGTACCGGAGCCCACTTCGCGCACGCCTGCCTTGACCTCCAAAGCCTTCAAGTCGGGGTCTGTCAAAGGGCGTCTCAGCCCTGAGTCTGCGTATTTGTCCTGAATGAACTGACGGACAGCGGAGGGGTGCACATGCCTGAGTGTCGAGCCAGTGCCCAGTCTGTCACCAGCAGGCTGATTGAGGGCCTCCACAATCCCTGTGCAACAGAGAGGCCAGCCAAGGGATTTCAGAACTGCCGCAAGAGCTTCACATGGGCCATGTCGGGCACCATCAGTGGTGATGAGCATTGGCAATTAGCCACATTTCTTGAAGCTGTGCCAAATGAACTGCGTACGTTGTGGACCTGTGTACCAAGTGAATGTGTACAATGGTCAACAGTGTAGAATGCCACTGGAATTGTGCCGTGCTGTCTTGGTAACTCTTCAGCATACCAAGTCAGTGTGACAATACAAAGCAGCCACTACCCATCCTGGACTGAGTCCCTTCTAAAATCGATCAGCATTCAAACACAGCCCGGCAACTGCCTGCAACACAAGGCAACTGAACAATCCAGCACAATAAAAAAATAAAGTCTGGAGCACGGGCGAGATAAGAGGTGTTGAGCAAATTGGTGCTCACAGGTGGCTTGTGGCTTGCAGGGCAGTCTGACCGGCCAATAACAGGATGCTTTCTAGCAAGACTGCCTCCAATGCACCAACTGTGGTTGGCCATGTCAAGGACAGTTCCCCCGATGGCACAGCAGGGCAGTTGATTCAACAGCATCGAGCATTCACAGCAAACCAGCTGTACTTCCTGCTTCTGCAGCAGAAAAAGCTCTGAAGAGGAGCAAAGGAAATTAGCTTGGGGCCCAAGGTTGGTTTCTGCGCTCTGCTCCAACTTATCCGGGAGTTTCTTTGGGTCTTGTGTTATGTTTTTAAACAATTGGATTGTATGAGGAACAAGGTTCTGACAATCTGAACAAACATGGTATCATCAACTGCAGGCATAAGGGCATCGTCACAGCCATTCGACAAATTGCACTTCAAACCATTCACCAGCAATTGGTTCAAATTAGCAATCGAGCAAGTGAGACGTTCCCTGCAAACTTGCCTTGACGCAGACATTGTGCCCTGATCTCGTTGTCCCCTTCGATTCTAGTGCCAACAGCCATGCGACTACGTCGTTGAAGGTCACCAGGTGGGCTGGCAACCAATTCTTCTGCCTCAGCAGTCCGCAGGCCTTCTCGAACTGATCCATTTTCCTGCAGAAGGCAGCAAGGTGATGTAGGGCATGCACAATACAAGGGCACAGCACTGGGTATCATATCAAAGAAAAGGCCCGGACTAACACTGACAGCACTGTGGCACAAGGTGCACAATGTTGGGCGCAAACAAGGGGAGTGTTGATCGCTGACACTAAGGTGGACATAAGTGTGTGATGGGTGCAGACAAGCGGACACTGTTCCTGTATTGAGGATAGAGACTGGTGGCTGCTGCAGCTCAGTGCTTCTTACGTGTCATTGTATCCATGTCTCCAGCAGCACAATGTCACTGGCGCTGGAAAAGCCCTCAGTAACAAAAGCAAAGGACACAGCACCAGGTGTACGAGCCTGAGATATTGGACTGGCACAGAACCATCGGCTCTGCCATTTATTTTGTGAACAAAAGGGGACGGTACCTTGAGAGGACGATCGTCGGCAGACGGTACAGCACGTACAACATGTCCCACCCCAGCCTGCATGTAAACAATACCCATCGCCGATTCATTCGTGATGACTTTGAAAACCGCAATTCGGTGAACTCCAGGTCGTGGCAGTGGTGCTTCTCGCTGGAGGTGTCATCCTCATTGTCGTGTGTCTGGGCAACCAGAGACAGCAGTCTCACTCATTTTGCACAATCGCTCATCGATGGATTGCAACAAGGAGTTGCACCTTGCTGTAAGTGATTTGCACTGGGTGTGGGTGCCTTGGGCAGCCAACTAATGCAGCTGTCCTTCTGCTGAAATCGTATCCTCTTCAGCAGTGAACGCACCCTAAATTCCAAAAGTAAATTGCTTTGGTGATCACAGCTTCAGCCTAAAATCTGCAGCACAATTACAAGCCGTTTCCTGTCCCTTTCATGCTGTTTTGTACAGAGGTGCCCAAGCTCCTCAGCACAACAAATACCAAACAGATAGCTACAACAGCTCTTGCTCAGCAAGGGCTATCGCATGTCCTGCTACCACTGGAGAAGGCGACCACGGCCCTGCTTTCAGTCACACAGTCTCCAGAGCGGACACTAATCCACCTGGAAGAGGGTAGACAGTGAGCGCTATTGTTCTGACAATCCTCTACTCCAAAAAGCTGAAAAGCAGCCCAGACAACTACAAGTGGATGCAGGGCGATCAGTACCACAACACCACTCAGCGTCAAATGGATGTGCCATCCGATTGTGGGTATCCTTTCCAACCACCCATGGCATGAACAACTGAAGCGGGATTCGAGCTTGGGGATGGTTTCAATTCTTGTGACTCTTCTGCTTTTCGCACAGGACGAAGTGAAGCTCTTGCACCAAATTCGGCAAAGATGGGTTTGTGGGACATTGGGCCCAGGCCAGGGGCCTTGCACACCTGTATGCAGCAGCTTATTGAAGCATTCTCAAGTTCGTTTTGTTGCGCGAGTTGTGTGGGCACCAGTGCCCCCTCCCCCTGCTGCTTGGCCAAGTGCTCGACGCTGCTCTCTGGCAGTGCGATGGCCTCCACCTTCACTGGCACCTGCAGCTTGCCTGTGTATTGAAGGTGTAGCCGAATCTGATGGCAACCAGAACCAACGGCTCAGCTGACCAATAGACGATGATGCTTGCACAGGCAGGCGATGGGGAACCACCACCCCACTGTTTATTGTGCATTAGTTTTGGGGCCTCCCAGCAAGAACAGCCCCTTGCATGTCCCCCAGCCCTCCACCCCTACATCACCCAAGGAAGCAGGCAAGCAAGCTGGGTGGGCATTGGTGGCAGTGCCAAGACGGCCCCTTGTGTCCTTGTTAGTGCACAATCAACAGAGTGGAGCATCTAGGCATGGGTGCCAGAAGAAGTGATGCAGACTGACTGTCGCCCCATCAAGGGGCGGTCCAGGTGCAGGCCACTGTGAACCAGGCCACATGGCCTTGGGTTCAGTGCAAGGGTGCCCCTTTTTTTGTTCGCATACAAGCAAATTCTGGATGGGAGTGGTCGGCCATGGGCACATTCATGAGTGGTGGGCGCCATTCCGTTGGGCCAGGAGCATCGGCTACTTGCTGAGCACGACAACTCCACTGTCCCACAGGGTTTCACAATTCTGGCAGCCTCAACATGACCGGCCATCGCTGCCCAAGCACAGCCTAGTTAGTCAAATGGCAAGGCCACTCTACTGTCTGGGAACTGGCAATGTGTGCAAGACAATTGGCGTCGTGCTCGTCTTCAGCACTGTTTCGCTCGGCATGCAGCCAGAACGTCGTTTTAATTCTCTGTCCAGTGGTTCAGCAGAAAAAGACCCAAGCATAGCATCGCTTTGCCATAACACTCAACAAAATGCGGAACGCTCCTCCATCACCTCAGCCATCGATTCGCGCTTCGACGTGTCCGATCCCCATGTACGTCCAACAAAGGCGACAACTTACCGAATTTTTAAAAAAAGGCTACTCGGGAGCTACAACATCTGCCAGGGTCCCCTTGGAGTGCCGAACTTCTCTTTCTCCTTGAGGCTGAGCAAGCATTTGGATTCGAACAATTCTGGGGCTTTAGAGCATGTTTATCGGTGGGTGCTATTGTCCCGGCGGTGCTATTCGGCTGTCCGAATAGCACTGCGTGTCAAACAGCCATCATTCACGGCTGGGGAGCAATAGCACCCCAATAGCACCACCGATGCTATTCGGCGCCGAACGGTGCTATTCTAGGCCCGAATAGCACCGCTCGAGGCCAAATAGCACCCCAGAATAGCAACCGGTGCTGTTCGCGGAGAACATTGTAGCGCTGCCGTAATGCTATTCGGCGTAGGAATAGCACAGCGCGCAGAGGAGCAATGGCACCAGTGCCATTTGGCAAATGCCGCCTTAGTGAGGTGGCACGGCAGCAAATGATAACCTTTCCAGGATAGCACCGCCCACATCGCCTTGCACTCTCTTGCTAGGCGGCACAGCGCCCACACATCTTGCAATGGGACGGGGAAGGCACCTGGACACTGAAACGTGATGCAGTATTTCGGAATAATAGAAGCCACAACATCAACTGCATAGTCGTTACGCCACGTACACGCAACCCCAGAATCGAACTCGGAGGCCTCCCTCCGTCCAGGGCGCCAGGACTTGCTGAAGCCGGCTCCACAGCCCACAGCAAAGCGCACAGCAGTTTGTGTACAGGGCACCACCAAATTCCCCCTTTCTCCCCCCGCCCCACACCTGGCGCTGACTCACCCCACGCGGCCACAAAATTCGCCAAGATCACGTCCCACCCTACGAGATGCGCCGCAACCCGTGTCTGCCCCAGCGCCACGCGGCCGCCAGCTCTCAGGGGGGCATCTGGTGGGTCAACCCCGTCCAGGGTCAGCATCCCCACGGCTGGCCAGGCACGGTCACCAGCAGGGCCCCAGGGTGGAATGGCGCCTGCCCATCAAGAAGCCAACACGCGGCTTCTCTCATGGTGCCTCCAGCACCTCACAGGTCAATCCGCCCCATCCGCCCCCACAGGAACGCCCTCTGCCGCCTCTGGCGGTCCGAGGTCGTCAGCAACAAACTAGGGCGCTGGGGCGTGGGTGGGTTGTGGGACACGTGCCTTGAGCGGCGATGCCCGCTTCTGCGTGTCACCCGCACGCAGCGGGCCGCGGGCGCCTGGACAGCGCGAGTGCATTTGCCACTCACACAAAACGACCCCGACCCGTACGGGGACCCTTCCACTGCCTGTTGGGGTCCGGGATCGTCGGCAAATGAAGGCGGTGGGGGGATGCGCACCTTGAACGGCGTCCTGAAAGGCTTCTTCTGCGTCACCGGCAGGGCGTAGGACGCCGGTGCCTGAACCACCCGGACTCCCGCTGAGATGAGGTTGGGCGGCGCCGGGGGGGTCGATAATGCGCCCGCTTCCGCGAGGCGGTCCGCGTTGGCCGCGCGGCTCTCGCCGGCGCCCCAGTCGCCCTCCCACTGGGCTGAAGCGATGAACAAAACATGACAACAAGTTAGTTATCCCGGAGGGGGCGGCCCGCGGCGCTTAGGCGTTCGAAACGGGCTTTTTGAAACGCGAGGGGCGAGGCGATGGCGAGCGCAGCGGGCGGTGAGAAGCTGTTGCGGGGGGTGATTGGTGGGGAGAGGAAGTGAAGGGGGAGTTTGACAGAAACAGCGGGACAGGGGGGCCGGGAGTGGGAGGGGATGGGCGGGGAGTGGGAGGGGATGGGCGGGGGAATGGGGGGTGGACGCGGGAGCTGGCCGGACTGACCCGGAGGGTCGGGGGAAATCGCGGGGTCGTTGGCGGTTGTCAACGCACCGTGCTGGCTGCTGCCGTATGTGATGAAGCGAAGCTGGTGGTTGGGCAGTTCGGCCAGGGCCACGCCGCGCAGCTCCTGCACATCGCAGCCCATCGACTCAGCGCCGCGCCGCGCTGGCGGCTCCGATCGCCCTCCCCTCGCCGGCCGATTCGACCAATCCGACCACCGAAAACGCACGACGAGAAAAACGCCCGCAGGGGCATCGATTCCACGGGGCTGTTCCGGGAAACTGCGGCGGTACGGTTGCGCGCTGTGGGGCAGGTTGCCGGCACGAGCGCCGGGACTGCCTCCCTGGCCACGGGCGGGCGGCTTGGCGAATGCTTACCTCATCGGAGGCCATGCCAGCCCCGTGCCTGCTGCCCCGGACGCCTTGCCTTCACCTGCAAAGCCAGCCGTGCACAGCCATAAGCCTCACCCCGGATACCCCCGGCTCCTCCTAGACGCGTCCAAGTACATACACTCGGCTCACAAGCATCCAAAAGCGATCGATCCAAGGGCCCCCAGGCGCTCCTCCGCCCCCGCGCTGGCTTCAAAAGCGGCAGCCGGGACGCGGACGTCAAACCCGGGCGGTTCACGGGGTGCCCGCCACGGCCACGCCAATCCAATTCCGCCACGCACAGCACCGTCAGGCCGTGCCAACCACGCAAGGCCCGGCGCCCATGCTGTCGCTGCTCGATCCCAAAAGGGCCAAGCGAGCGGCAGACTCGCAGCCCACACCGGATGCCATCCCCCCCCCAGCCCCCCACCCCACCCCCCCACACACACACTCTCGGCGGTCCATTGCCATTCCCCCACAGGGCACCCTGACCAGCACAACGCGACGTCCTTCTCCCCCCTTCTCCCGGAACGCCGCCACGATTCCCCAATTTCGCCGATCCGCATCTCTCCAGCCGATTTTCCCACCACGCCACCGCCGATCCATCGCCAGCAACCCTGTCAGCCAATCGCGCGGAGACCGGAGGGCGCCCGACCACCAACGTTGCGCCGTGCCTTCACCCCAACTCCATCGATGCAGGGCTCCGGGTCCAGAGCGCGACGGGGCGAATGGGAGCGTCGCCACAGCGCCGCTTTTGCTTCTGCAGACGCTCGAATAATTCCCGCGCCGCTGGCCCTCTCGGCCAATCGCGCAGCCGCAGTGATCGTCCTTCCCCCCCTCCCCGCCCCCCCCCCCTTGGGGCGCGGGGTCCCCCCGGACGTCCTCGCTCCAAACCTCGCCAATCCCCATCAAAAAGTCTTTACACTGACAGCCAAACCGCCGCCAACTCGCCGAATCATTCCTTCCCCGCCCTCAACACACACCGCGGGGCACGCCACGCCAAGCGTCGTATGAGAGGCAGCCGACAACGGTCGCGCACAGCCAATGCCCTCCAGGCCCTGCCGCTGCGCTCCTCTACCTTAGTCTCTCGCGCTTTGCCCAAGGCCTGGTGCTCGGCAGCTTTCCACCGGCCGCCACGGGCCGCAGCTTCAGTCCTGGAGGCCAACGCCCTGCTCCCGGGGGTGTACTGGCCAGCCCCCGGATGCCAATGCTGGCGCTCGAGAGCGGAGGGCTTCCCAAAGTACGCCCCGCCTGACGCGGTGGCGTCACACTTCCTCAGGCCCGTGCGGTTTCTCGCAATGAGGCATTATCGAGCAGATCTGTCCGTCTTACCGCATTTGAAAGTGGTTGCGGTGTGGCAGGAAGGACGGTTCAGCATACTTCTGGGCGGGGGGTGAAGATGTGAACCTGTAGATTTTTGTCGAAGGGGCCGGAGCTCGGGTGGCGGGGTGGGTGTGGGTACGCTGGGAAGCGGCGGGATAGGGCGGAGCCGTCGTATGCGGCGCCCTGGCGAGGGGTGGGGCTGCTGGCTCAGCCGGTGCGACCGGGGTGCTGTGGCCGGTGATTCTGCGGATGGCCCTTGAGCGGAAACTGCAGGGAGCGGAAGCAGGCGGCGCTGATTTTGCCGTGGACCGGGCGTCTGGGAACTTGCGGCTGCCGGCATTGGTCATCATCATCACTACTTTTCCATAACAAGGCAATGAGGTAGCCGTCAGCTTACTGTAAACTATTCAACCCTTCCGCATCACAAATTTCGTCGTTGCGCTTTTGCTCCGCACATTGTTTTTCAGAGCGTTGTTTTAATTTGTTTTACGTTGCTCCGCACAGAAGGCCCAAGATTTGCGTCATTATTTACACCATTTTCCCCGCAAAAAAGGCCAAGCGCTATGTTGCGTTACTATGCGGAAAGGTTTAATACTTTACAGTACTTTGCCGTTTGTCATGATGGTACGCCTGGAAATGATGGTACATCTAGACGCTGTGGCTGCTGCGGCGTTTGTTGTGGTGATACATCCAGGCGGTGATGCAATACTGTACAATATTGAACGCTTCCGCATAGTAACGTAAGGTTTGGTCTTTTCACCGGAGAAACTATTACAAATAGCAACCCAAATCTTGGTCTTTCTGTGCGGGGCAACGTTAAAAAAATAGATGTAACGATCTGAAAGCAAAATGCGGATCAAAAAGCGCAACGGTGAAATTTTCTGATGCGGAAGTGTTGAATATTTTACAGTATTGTGGCTGCATCGCCATGGACGCAATGCACAACAACCTTTCAGCAAATTTATACTTCCTCTGTCCGGAATTAAATGAACGCTTTTCATTGAGTGGCCGCAATCATGTCAAGCCTTATCTTTTTTTGTTAAAAATTAGACTGCAATACTACCTACAAGTTTTGTACATGATGTCAAATTTTTGTGGAGAACGCATTAATACAACAAATTGTGCACGGCCTCAAAGACGCCCAATTCCCAGACCATAATTTGACCCATCGCATTGGCGCGTTGGCCTGGCCGGGAGTGGCGTTCTGTGTCCAAGAACGCCCCACTCTCGAGCGCATACTTTCTCATGGAGTCCGCAGCACCATGAAGGTAGAGTTGACCACACGCAACTCCAGCTCCAGCACAACGATCGACATCCATCGTTGTGGAGCCTTGGCAGAAACGACACCGATATCTGTTTGTTGCCATCGCCGATTTCTGGATTTCGACCCATTTTGTGCAACGACACATTGGCGTGCGTCAGATCCATCCTTGCTAATACGTTCTTAGGTATCCTGAGACCCGCCCTGCTGTCGTTGCATGCACTAAAGGCTATCTAATCCGTCGCGGCTTATAGCAATGGCATGGCCGGAGCAAAGCCATGCCTGTCAAAAGCAATGAATTCCCGCCAAACTTTTGGCGGTGAAACATTACGATGTGCAGATGGAGGCCCCTGGTGCCTGTTCAGATTCTCTTTCAGCATCCTGCGTGGCTGGCATCTGAAGTCTTGGATGGTGGCGTCTTTCAAAGTGTCATGAACAGCCCTGACAGGCCGTCATGGAGGGAGTACCCGCCACCTCCATTTCTGGCGATCTTTCTACTTGTGTGCTAAAGGCTGACAACGCAAACCTTCCAAACTTTTTGCGGTGGTTCTATCAGCCTTACTCACCCCATGAGTGCTGGCGGAGTTTTCTGAAAGGAGTCTCGATCGTGAATTTGGCCGATTTTTCGAATTTCCGATCTCCAGATGGGCATCTGGCTGGACGGGGAAATCCACGGTAGGGATCGACGATCGGGTGGTTTTAAACCTGGTTGCACCGTCCCGCCTTGTCTTAGGGACGGCTCTGACCTGCTATTTCAACTATGGCAGCAGCTATCCATTTCTTGGTGCGCAACGTCAAGTGCAAAGCCACCCTCTCCGGGGGTCGGTTTTTGGGGTCGCCCGCCCCGACCTTGAGATTCTCCAACCATTCCGCCCCAAACTTGCGGGTTCAGAGTATTGTCATTTATGCAATACTCAATGCTTTGACTTGAAATTTTGGTCAAAGCATTGCATGTAAGTTTATTAGAAGCTCACAAATTTTGGTAAAGAACGGATAAGTGTGTGATGTAAATTTGGCCTGTCAAACAAACGCGTTCATTTAATTCCGGACAGAGGAAGTATAAAACATAAAATACTGACAAGTGTTGGTACGTGTGCGCATATTGTGTCAGAGCTGATGCACTGTCCTTGCCACAGTACTATTCGGCGTTGCATAAATAACAATGCGCACATGGCGGCATCAACGTCTACCGTGTTTCCAGATTTCTAGCACAGGCCTCCAAGTCCGCGGCAGGGTGTGGCCCACACCGTTTTGGCGCGGATCGCAAGAGGCCAACAAATCATTACTCCATTGAGTCATCCTCACAGAGAAGTGAAGGTGCCCCAGTATTGGGTGCAGTTTTGCTCCCATGGGCTTCTTTTGGTAGCCAGGAACCGCTTAGTAGTTCTGCAAAGCGACCTGATCTAACGCACAGGCCTGTTTCTGGGAAGGTACCACGCCTCTCAGCCTGTTCTTACAATTCCGAAAAGCGTCCTGACCTACCCCGTAGGCCGCTTGCTGAGAAGGTACCGTTGCTGGCGTCGTAGCCTATCTTGGGCCCACCACCTTCCCAGTGCCCAGTCGTGCTTGAGCGCCCTGTTTCTTATGTTTAGGAGGTAGAACGCAATGACCACCGAAGTCAAGGCACTTTTTGAGCAGAATGGCTGCAGCGGCTACTGGATGGCCCCATAGCTCTGCCGATGTTGGCTCGGATTGGACCAGGGTTGGTTTTCACGCCGTAACACACAAAATGCATGTGCTTTCTATGCGCGAAAGTAGCTTTTACGGTATCACGCGTAAAAATGCATAAAAATATGTAAGTACAACGTAAAAGCTGTCCGTGTACATTATGCCTGTACAGGCACCACATGTGTTGCATTGTCAACTCGTGACCGACTGTCCCCTGCGCTCGCCATGAGGCACAAGGGAGTGTGTGGGCCGTCCGCAAAGCAGCTCAGGGACCTGAAAGGCTTGCAAACCACCTGCGCATACAGCCAGCAAGTCGTGAGGGGGGGGTGAGGGGCAACGATGCTGCCATCTCTCTGGCATCATCGGCTCTGGCCTGTCAGCATGTACAAAATAGGCTCCTTTGCAAATTTACGTTTTTAAGTGTATAAACGTAAAAGTAAGAACGTAAACGTAAACGTGAAAACCAAGCCTGGGCTCTGGCATGCCAACATGCACTGGCGAAGTGCCCCGGGAGGTCAGGGAGGAGTTTGCGCACCAGCATGCAGTGCGCAAGAAGAAACACGAAGGCAAGAAGCGCTCAAGGGCCGGAAGCTTATTCACCACAAAGGTGCAGCCTGTGTGCGCAAAGCTGGCCATGGATGGCACCAGTTCAGCACCAGCCACCTGCCGCCGCCAAGCCTTGGACCTTGTGAAAGGCACCTCTTCAGGTCCGATCGTGGATGTAATGAAAATTGTGGGAAGGAAGTTGTTGACCAGGCAAGGGCCATGGCGTTCTTGGCTGCAACATACCTCGGAGCGTTGTGGCAAGTGTTGCAACTGTGTTGCGGATGCTGGAGATGGCGGAAGACTGATCATTGTACGCAATTTTCATCGTGCAACCTGGGTGTCCAAACGAGACGTAGAAACGTGAAAATAGCCCCTATAGCAAATTTGCTTTTTTAGGGCGTAAAAATGCTAACGTAAAAGCCTAAACGCAAACATAAAAACCAAGCCTGGGTTGAACCATGTTCTCTTTGTGATTTCCCCACCCCAAGAAGCACGCGAGTGTATAGCGTGCGTGCTATTGAAAACACCCTGTTTTCGAACAATATTTTTGCTTGAAAACGGGTGTTGTTCACCCTAAAGAGTACATTAGGGGTCCCTATATAGCGCCCCCCCCGTGACATGGCCACAAGGGGGGCGCTATTGGGGGCCGGGGGCGCTATTGTGTTAACTTTGTTTACTGCATTTGATTGTAGTTTTAGTCAATATGGTTTTGTGTAATGACCAGCTGGCAGTGTGGCGGGGCCCAGCGACAGCGTCAAGTGGCAGTGTGCCAACGCAGCAGCGTGGCAGTGTGGCAGCGTGGCAGCGTGGCAGCGTGGCAGCGTAGCGGGGTGGCCGCGTGGCGGTGCGGCGATGTGGCGGTGCGGCGATGTGGCGGCGCAGCAGCGTGGCAGCACTGTTGTGATCATCGCGGGCGTGCGATGGCTGCACGACTGGTGTGCCCAGTCTGCCAAATCAGTGCTGGGGTCAGTGGCGCTCTGTTCGGGTCGCCAATTAATAGGGCTCATCAAAAAGTTAGTGCATTAATAATATCACTCAGTTGGCGACCCATGAGGTCTAGATACGATGCAGAGAGATGTCAACAGCCTCAGCACCTTCGCCACACTGATTATTATCAAATTGCAAGCTCAAGGCACTCAGAATGCATGGAGATGACTTTGATGACAAAGATAGATGATGGCAACTGCATCATACGCCCTAAGAGTTCACTGAGATACTATAAAAATGCCGAACACAACGCCAATACGTGGCAGTGCATCACACGGAGACACATGAGTCAAACATGCCCCAAACATGCCTTAGAGTATTGAGGAGCACCCGGGTTGCCACTGGACACGTGTGTTTGTTTAGGAGCTGCCCGCCTGGCGGCTTGCCGTGGATCGTGGCGAGATGGAGCCAGAAGGGGTGCGTTGAGACACCACGTGCTTGTAGAGGTGGCCACCCGGATCCGTTAATAACGGACAGAGATTAATTCCGTTAATTAATCCGTTAATTAACGGAAAATAACAAAAAAAGACAAAAATTACCCAAAAATTAACGGATTTTTGGATTTTGGGGGGATTTTTGGGGTTTTTTCATACTTATAGTTTATGGAATTCGCTATTAGAGAGCATGTTTGTATTTTATTTCAACCTATGCATACTAGATTTTCAACTAGCCGCAGTTGTTGTGATTTTTTGGGTTTTTTTTCGATTTTTTTGGATTTTTTTCGTTTTTTTCTGAATTTTTCTCCCTTTTTCTGTAACGGAATTTAACGAACAGCTGACAAAAATTAACGAACCGGATTTAACGGAGCGGATGGCATCTTGAGTGGCCACCTCTACGTGCTTGTTTGATGGGAATATGTCCCGTGGGGCATAATGTGGTTGCCGACCACGGGAAGTGTCGGTGCTTGGTGAGAATGTGGCCCTTGGGGCACATGCAGTGGCTATTTGTGGGCAGTGGGGCGTCCTGGGTTGCGTTGTGGTGAAGCAGCAGGCGTGGCAGAAAGATTCCGGGTATGAAAAGAGCATCTCTTTGGAATGGTGGTATTTTTGCCAAAGGGGTGTGGACAGCGCGAAGGGGAACTCTGTATTGTTGCACTCGGCCTGGAACCTATAAGAACGGTTGCGTGGGGTGTGTGTGTCTCTCGCGTGGCGGTCTAGGCGCTCAGTCTGGCTGCCTAGCCCCCCTGACTGTACGCGCAAGGTTCGCCACGGCCTGAGCACAATAGCGCACGACCTTTTCAAAGGTTGCAGCCAGTCTGGGCCTTGTTTTCAAGGCGCTTCCTTGCCGTTCGAGACCAGCACCTCCAGCATGGTCTAGTTGCCGACCAGAACACATCGAGCTTCGTTTTTGTACAGTCTTGCCGAGGCAGAGAGAAATATTCCCCGTGTCATACATCAACGTGTTGTGGACAAGGCAGCCCTGACCCGTGGGACCTGACCTCTGTTTTGACTTCGTCGACCGTTAAGAAGCAGTTGCGACCAGTTGGGGTACTCTGAACGGAACCTGCAAGAGTTTCTACAAACATACTTGCATGGTTGGCTAGCAGTGGGGGTGTTGCTACCCTTTTGAAGCTTCCCCTTGCTGTTGCCGCTATTTTGTTGGTCTTGTCGGCATGCCAAGCAGTTCTTTGTGAAGAGCCCATTCGCGTGAGGGGCAAAGCTTGTTCGTTGAGTGCACTCTCAACTGCTGTGGTGCTGAGGCTGTTGACATGGCTCAACTGCCTGTTTGAGGGTGAATTTATTGCGCTATCTCCGGGGACGACGGCCAAAATGGACCACCACTCTTTGCAATTTATAGATGCCTTGGCTGCAATATCCTTATGCATGCATGGTGCGGATCCTGCTCGTGTGGTAAGGATTTTCAATGGGGAGGCTGCTATGTGAGGCGCTACTGCCCAGCCTGTCGGCCAGTGCGAAGATCAAAGCGCCCGGTGCACAAATCGGCTGTGATGCCAAAGCAATTGATCAAGAGCTTTTTTGATGATGATGAGGGCGACTGCGATGATGGAAACCCCTGCGGCCCTGATTTCATGGAAAACGGAACTCCAAGCAACGATGAGGATTCAAGCAGGGATATGGAGATAGATTTGTATGATCATGATGAGAGAGAAAGAATGGAAGCTGCGGCATTGGGCACCCCTCCCTATCCCTACATTCTGCTGGCTGCAAGGAGCCAGGTGGGCAGTGCCCACTTCGCTGTGCATAGATGGAGATCCGCCATGGAACACACACCTCCCTTGGCCTCCTGGGGAGGCCCTGGGCCCGGGCCCCATAGTGGACGCACCGGACGTGCCGTCCGCCCGTCCGCTATATGCCAAGTTCGTTGAAACAGATGGCCACTGCGCCATCAGTCCTCCAGACACCTCTCTTAGGTGTGTTTGGTTGTCCGCAATAGTAGCTTGAGGTCCCACTGTGCAGTGAAGCTGCATAAAGTACTACAAAAATGGTGACAAGCCAGAAAAGGGGGCGCTATTGGGGGCCGGGGGCGCTATTAGGGGGGCGCTATATAGGGACCCCTACTGTAATGCAAAAAAAAGTATCGGCCTCGTGGACATTGTCGATAAAGCGTCTAGCCAACAACAGAGGAGCCCTGCGGCGCTGCCTTGCCGCCTCCCCGGGAGCCCCTGCGTGCGCTGCGATGGCGGGCAGGAAGCAGGTGAGACTTTGGCGGTGTGGTTTCCCCGTGCAGGTCGCTCGTCTTCAGTGAAGGCGGCGCAATGCTCCTCACAAAGCAATGAAACGAGGGGGGATCAGCATAACCTGGCATCTTAGCTTGCAAACTCGTTGTGTGGGAGAGTCATGGTGCCGTCACAGATTGCGTGGGTGTGTTGAAGTGCTTGAGAAGAAGGATGCAGGGAAAAAAAATTCTGGTCCTTGTTCATGAGTCCCTGATGAATTCGACTGGCGTGCATGCAGTCGCCGTTCGTTGGGAAGACGGTCCCGCTTGTCGACGCCGACGGCGGGCCGATTCTCTACAAGCGCTACAGAGATGTGTCCGAGATAACGACGGTGAGCGCTTCCGGCTCGAAGCCAGGCATTGCGCGTCATGTCGATCCTTCGATTGCGGCGGGCGAAAGCGGCAGAGGATTCTCTTGGGCCCTGAAGGCCGCAACGGGCTGGGCGCCGTAGCGCAAGAGATGCGGAACGCGGTAGTCTGACGGCCCATGTTTTTGCTGCGAGCACGTAGCTTGGGCTGAGTCGAATCATCGGGTGCAAAGTGGCCACGCAGTGCAGCAGACGAATTCCAGGAGTCTGTAGGCTTCAGGATTGGCAATTAGGGGGCAGCAAAGGGATGAAATTATTTTCTGCGGCTTGCGCTCAAGGATGTTGTGCTCCATTGTTGCATGCCCTAGACTGCGGACGTCCGCAAGCACCTTTCAGGTGAAGCAGCTCAGCCTGATTTTTGTTTGATGCTGCGGAAACAACAGATTGTTGTTTGTCCATTGGCTGTCATGGAATGCATCCATAGCTGTTGAAGCACCTCGACTGTTGGAAATCAGGGTTGTTCCAATGTTCTGAGTTTGATCAATACTGGGAACATTTGCCAACACTGCAATTCTTGACTTTGTTTCTGACAGGCAAGTTGTCAGGGAAAGACTGCTGGTGTCACATCCGAAGAAGTTGGCAAAGGTAAGCGAGCTTCCAAGGCTGTGGACCTACACATTTGTGCCACCCAGTGGTGGCTTGCTTTGCTGTGGATGCCACTGGATGCCCTGACATTGAGACCTGGTTGTGTCAAGACCTTGCAGCCCAGTGCTTATCCTATGTGCTGTTTTGAAGGAGCACAAAATGAAGAAAGGAAGAGTCATCCTACAGGACAAAAACGGAAAAAGAGGGGTGAGAACAATAGCCCTGGTGATGCTGTTCATGACGAATCTAAGAGGACCCAAATCTGCCGTTTGGCTGGTGAATCGGTTTCTCATGAGACTGTAGGCAAATTGTTTGTCAAGGAAATGCCACAATGTGGGAAATCCTTCTTAGGAACAGGGGAGCCTGATAAGAGTGGGGTTGAGGGACATCAACCCTTAGCTGGGCAAGCTGTCAAAAAGGCAAAGAAGAAAAGAAGGGATAACAACAAAGTGCTGAACCCGGTGCTAGTGGCCAGTGGCGATAGCGAGGACAACCATCTTGCAGTAAATAATGTAAAGGACAGGAAGAGCAAGAAAAGGAAAAGGGACAGCAGTGGTTGCAACTCATTGCAGAATGGAGTTGTCGTGGAGCCCGCCCCAGGGGTGGTTTCTGATGACTTACTTGATAATAAACCCCTGGCGATGACCCATGGGGAGGATGATGCACTGCTGATTGAGCAGTCAAGCAAGAAGATTGAAAAGAGAGCCAAGTCGAAGCTTCCCAAAAAGCGCAAGGAGGCAGAAGAGGAGAGATGGCATTCTGACCCTGAGGCAGCAACACCTACGAAACATCAACATCATCATCAGAAGAAGAAGAAGAAGAAGAGTAAAGATCCCGGGAAACAGAATGTTGAGCTTTCCAGCTGTTGCGATGACAAGGGCAGTGGCCCCCACAATGACTCTGAGTGCTCTTCAAAGGACACACTTCAAGGCTCCTTGCAGGGTGTTGCAGATGGATGTGGGGGCTCTGGAAGTGCATCAGCAGGGGCAAATGGCCTAGGTTCCCAGGCGACACAGCCACCAAAGGGTGGTAACGCTGAAGAGGCGGCAAGGATGCGCAACATTCTGGGATTTACACATGCCAAAAACCAGCCTACGGCAGACTCTGTTTTTCAATTTCAGTTTGACAGCACCAGGCCGCCGGTCAGAGAAACAGCAGATGATCATGGAGAAGGGAAGAGCGCAAAGGGTGTCGATGACACGAATGAAAGTTGTAACAAGGCGAGCGGAGATTTTCCCTTCAGCATATATGCTGGCGGGATGCCTTACTTTTGGAGTGAGGAGGACATCCGGCAGTTCTGGAGTGAGTGTGGGCATGTAATCTCTGTCCGCTGCCTGACTTTCGGCGACTCTGGAAAGTTCAGAGGCATTGCCTGTGTGTCGTTCGACACTCAGGAGGGGCTGCAGGCTGCCCTAGCATGCGATGGAGACCCTTGTCAGTGTGAGGGCGACCAAGGCAGGGGCGTTCACAGCTTCAAGGTTGCTGTCAAGAAGTGGACGGGAGCATTGCCAACACCACATTCACAGCGGCCATCCAACACAGCTGGGAGGCATGGAGGTGCAAGTGTTGGCAAGACCCCTGGGTACAATGTTGCATTCGTTTGCAACATTCCGTACAGTGTAATCGAGGAGCAGCTCCTTGAACTGTTCTCAGAACACGATGTGGACAAGGTCAGGCTGCACACGAACCAGTACACGGGCGTGTCCTGCGGCTTTGCCCACGTCCACTTCAAGAGTGGGGCGGGCCTGGACAGTGCGATGGCTCTGCATGGCACAGAGCTGAACGGGAGGAGTTTGGTGGTGGGATATGCAAAGCCGCCACCCGGATTTTCGCAGAGCACCGCTGCAAGGGAAGCGAGTGGTCAATCAGAGGGTCCCAGGAGCAACGGCATTGGTAGCGCTGGAGGAGAACGATCCTGCGGCAAGAAGATCCCTGGCTACTATGTGGCCTTTGTGTCTAACATTCCCTATGAGACGAACAACATGGATCTGAGGAGGCACTTCAAGGGATGCCCCATTGAGAAGATCATCTTGCTGACAAACAAGCAGACCGGCGAGTTCGTTGGCAGCGCCTTTGTTCAGTTCGCCGATGAAGCGTCCCTGGATCGGGCGGTGGGGATGGATGGGCGAAAGATGAAGGAGCCAGCGGTGCGGCAGCTGAGAGTGAGGTATGCACAGAAGAGGCTGAAGGAGTTGATGCCCAGTGAAGATCAGAAGGTTGCCGGAGGCGGCCAGGGAAGGACGGGGCGGCTGTCAGACGGGGGCGGCAATGGGGATGAGGGGCAGGGAATGGGGAGAACTGATGGACGAAAGCGTGAGAAGGGAGACAAGGCCAGCTCGAAGGCCGGCAAGGTCAAACAATGGACTGAAGAGGATGACCCGTTGCTGGCGTTGCTGTGAGCCTCCCGACTGGGTGTTGATGATCTGGGGGCTGGGGCTGTTGGCATCGTGGTTCGAAGATCGTTGTAGGGCTTTAGGAAGTGACGCTGCCTCAGTGTGTTTGTACAGCATCTGCGGTTGGCGTGACTTCTGTGTTCAGCTACGATTTATGCATGTACAATTTCATTCATTGCGCCTGCGTCTGGGGGAAGTCATTGAATTTGAAAAAACAGGTACAATACATGTAGAAATAGTATGAATACGATTGAATATGTGTGGGATGTTCAAGTTATATTTTTTCCGGATCTTTCGAAGATGGATAATCAGCTGGTATTGTGCCACAAGAGACTGCACGTTCCGGGAAGCAGGCCTCTTGTGGCGTGGATGGACAGTCGCTGCACACAGCTGCATCTTGATAGGCCAAATGAATCACAAATCGACCTGTCAGTCCTGTGGAACAACTTGGCTGCCGCTCCTCGCGAGTGGATTCCAATAACTGTCTCAACACATCATTGAAGATGCATAAGCCTTCAACTACGGTTTATACACATGCTTTTTATGGCTTCTGTGTATCCTGTTGGGCGGACGCCTGCAGCACCAGCTGGGCGGCAAGCCCGCCAACAACATTTAGACCTCGTCCCTTTTTGTTTGCACTATGAACGGAGTCACAACGCACGAGGCGCTCTGATGCTGTTCGCGTCAAGGCTTTGGAAAGCAAGGCCTTGGCTTCATAACGCGCCGCCGGCAACATCCAATCAAATAGTTCAAAACAATGGCAAACGAGCCAGTGCAATCCAAAAATGCTCTGCAATCCCTGAGATTTCAGTTCCAAGCGACTTCATAACATGATATTGATGTATGTGAATTTATCACATACCGTCCAATCCATTAGAGCCCTGAGCACGAATGGATGGAAGCACACAAATTGGCGCGCTCTACCGGACCCCTGACATAATGTCGCTGAAACTGATGAGGCAGTGACGTTGGCTGTCCAAGGCTTTAAGTTTTAAGGTATTAGGATTAGGTTTTAGTGTAGCACTAAGCCCTAATCTAATCAAAACCCCTAAACCTAAACCTAGAAACTAAAAACTAACCCCAAAACCTCATAACCGGACAGCCACGTCACTGCCACGTCAGTTTTCAGCTACGTTATAACGGGGAGGCCGGCAGACCCACCCGAGGCTTGTATCCCTATATCGAGGCTTTGCGCGCGATGCAACTGGCCCGCACTGTCCTCACCGCATTCGCGTGCCTCCTGTGCTGCTGCGGGGCGCGAGCCCAGGGCCAGCGGGCGCACACAGGCACATTTTCCAAGAACATCCACAGCCTGCCCAAGACCATCTTGAATCATCGCCTGTTCAGCAAGCTGAAGGGCGGCATCCAGTCGAGCGCGCAGCGGTTCCTGCACGCCAGGGGACAGGTGGGCTTGACGAGGGCGGCCATTGGCGAGCGAACCCAACAGCTTCATGCCATACGATCAATGGAAGGCGATCTCGAGCATTGGGCGGTGATCGTCTCTGCACCCGGCGACATCTTTTTTGGCTTTTATTTGTTTCTGTGTACATTCCGAAAGCCGGACAGGTTGCGTCGTCACTCGCTGCATGGGCCGTGGTGGGCCATTGATTGAAGGAATGATCGCCGCAGCTTGGTGCGCGGATTCGTTGTTGGGAGATCTTGCTGCCATGCAGAAAGCAATCGACGTTCCTGTAGGAATTGGGGCAATGTTGATGCGCATCGACCGGCTTGAGGCGCACGAGCATAAATTTTCCTAACGAGTCAATGTGACCCCTCAGAATGCAATCGAAAGTCCCACGCAAATTGGCGTATTTCTCGCGGGATTATACAGTTGGTGACGATTGCCTGCACCCCCCCAAAACAATGGATATCTTCATAAAGACTAATATGATTGGAGCGGGCCTTGAATGGCCTTGGGCGCATTATTGCAACACTTCAACGAGTTTGTGACCCTCCAGAAGGCAGTGGACATTCTCATGGAAATTGACGTAATACCGGTGGGCTTGATGGGCCTGGGCTGCACAAACACCGAGTTCAACATGCTTTTGTGACCCTGCAGAGGACATTCGACATCCCTGTAGAAATTGACGTGGTTCTGGTGGGCTTTGATGGTGTTGGGGCATACGAGTACAAAGTCGATCCGCACAAGCTTGAAGATCTGCTGGCCTCATATTACAACACCCGGCGCCCACATGCAAAGGATTTGGATGAGCAGCTCTTTGTTCAGTACGCAGTCACCTACAATGTTGTTGAGGCACCAGAGGTAATGAACCCAGTATGGTCACCATCGGTCACGTTTGTGAGGAACTATCCAACCCCTGCCTTTTAGGTGCTAATCTGCACTGGGTGACAGACCCAGATGTGCATAACTCTTCCAGGCACTGAGGCCTGTCACCTTGCTATGTGGTGTTTCGTTGAACGAGCCAGGGCAGGAGCTCCATTGGAAAAACAGCAAGCAGTACACACCAAAGGGAAAGGCTGGCGTGTGGTGCCAGAGCAGCGGATCCAAGAAGAATAGGAGGAACACCTTTTGGAGTCAAAAGGGCACACACAAAGGAATTGTTGTTGGTGATGTGAAGGTGGCTCAGCAATGGGTCATGAGCCCAATGACCTGCTGAGTCACCCTCAAACTACCCACACCCATTCCCTGGCATAGGTCCCATGATTTATGCTTGTGGCAGTGGGCGCAAGAAAGGGTCCATTGTACTTTGGTTGTGTGACCGCTGTGGATGAATGGGTGTTGATGCAACCAAACAATCCATGGTGACATCAGAGCTCCATTCCTCCAACTGGTGCAGCATTGTTTGGCCAAATAAGAATCTGGCTGTTATAAAATCACCCAATGCCTGCATGGAAGTATGTTTGCATTGTTGTGAACGCATATTCTTTCCATCCCCCATAGTCCAGGGATGTTGATCACCCACCGATGTGCGTTGCCCACACTTGCTTGCTGTATTCAGTGCATTGGTGAATTTCTCCGGTTAGTAGCATTTGGACTGTGTTACGCAGGTTGTCATTGATTTCATTGTTGAGGCATGACTCATCATTGGCATCATATCTTTGTGGCGATTTGTTTTGTTGCTATAGCCCTTGTGCTCAAGCTGTGGACTCTTTCTTTAGTACTCTGGTTTGGGAGCTTGGGTGCAATTAATCACCAATTAATCACCAATGTCAACGAAAGGAACTGCAGATCTACTTGCCTTGTGGTTTCCATCGCCCATCTGCCTTTTGGCGATGCTGTCACTGCCTTGCAAGGGTGGAGAAATGAAGGGATGCCAAGTCCCATTTATCCTTTTGCAGTGCATCTGTTTGTCGGGCATGTAGGGCATGTCTAGAATCCCAATCACGGATGTCATTGTCTATAATATCCTGGATGCTGTGGATACTTTCATTTGTACTTGCTAGGTGCTGGTCGCCCTTTTTTGAGCCATGAACATGTCGCACATCATGCGGGTCTTATGGATTTTCCAAGTCCTCATCAAAGACCAGCCGTCCCTACCATCAGTGTGAAATGTGCTCCTGTCCGCCAGGCAGGATGAGACCAGTAGGACTTCTGTTCTTTTCTTTCTGATACAAAACCTCAGACTGAAAGTGTGCCAACCGACAGAAGGGGCTGCATAGCCATGTATGGCACCAAACTTTTATCTTCCATCATACCCCAGTTCGAATTGCACTGATTTCTGTTGCAACAGATGGCGATTCTGCAACTGGAAAATGTAATCATGCAGTCGCTTGTGCCTTCTGGCACTGTGAGAAAGTACGGACAAGGCCCCACCTGGCTGAATGATGGACTTGGCAAAGACATGGAGTCTTTCGATGTGGAGGCACTGGATGTGGAGCCTGCCATCGACAAGGCAAGCTGCTGGGCCCCTGGTTCTGCATGTGCTATCGTTCAGTTCTGAATTGCTGGAGCCGCATTGTGGTTGTCGTTGTCCACCTGATTAGGTGGAGGTTGAAAAATGGATAGCATAGTGTTCAATGCCAGCAACTCTTCAATGTGGAATTCTGTAACAAATTGTCATTGGATTAGTCGACAATAACAATAGTCACACAGCCTGGCCTGGCATGACCTGATCTTCATGCCCCTTTTGGGGCCAGGATCGTCCATGACAAATGGAAAGACGGAAAGGAAAAGTGTACCATTGTATATTCAACCATTCTACATGAACAAATTCTACCATTGCACTTTTTGCTCCACATTTTGTTTTCCAGATCGTTATTTATTTTGTAGTTTTTTCCCCAAAACGAGGCCAAACGTTAAGTTACTATGCGGAAGGGTTAAAGATACTTTGGTATGTGCACCGTGGTTTTTCATTGTGTTCCACAGCTGGCCTGGAGCTGGCGCTGCAGGCATGTTAAGCATCCAGTCTGTGCCGGCAGCGAGTTGCTGCAAGCTGCCACCAAATGAGCCATGCTGACACTTTGTGAGCCTAGGCTCCTGCACATGCTAATGTGCTTTTGGCTGCTGCTGTTGGCTTTACTTGGAATTGTGGACTAATAATGCCATGTCATCAAAGGTGGCCAATATTGCCAATCGGTGCGATGCCAATGAGTCGTCGTAAGTCATTGAGTGCGGCCTCTGTGGATTTGTTGATACCTTTGCGCGACTTTTGCTGTTTTGATATCATTAAAGTTTTGACGAATGTTGTCAATTTGGGATCGCTGATGGGCGCATTCATTGGGCTGTGCACAGTTGATTGCAGAAATGTTTGGAAGCAGGGCAGCTTCAGCCGACTTGCAGCAGGAGAGCGCCGTTGTCATATTGAACCCAAACAAGCGCAGGATGAAGTCTAAGATGCCCAACAGCACCGCCATGCCGATGAGCTCACCATTCAGCACTCATGATTGGGACAGGTGGGCCCTTTCTCTGGCACAAGAGCTCCTCTTTCACACAGTTTGATTCCGTACTTGGAATTGAATGCGCCAAAATTGTTGCAACTAAACACAAATGTTGTGTTGGTGAATTCCTTGATATCTTCCAAGGCCCATGTGCTGATGGTGAGGGACTTGCCTGTGAGGGTCCAGGTCGTACTATTTGTGCCGTTTCCACAAGTGACTGTTGCAATGCAGAAAAATGTTGCACACACAACATTTGTCTGCATTCTGTAGCAAGCGATGCACCGTCACGCATCGCTTGCGACAGATGAGGTTCGCTACCAGTACATTGGCTACCTTTGCAGAAACTGACAGAGTTCTGCCCTTGCATGGGCGCTCAGCGTCCACTCCATCCACAGAGCAAAATGACCACATCTTAGGAGCCTACCGATGTATCGATGTCTCGGAACCTGTTTTAGAGATACGCAAGAGTTTCTTGTCCCTGGAGCTGCCCGCTATGCCATTTGCTATCTGTTTTTGTGCCAAAAGTGCTCGCGGGGGAGACGGCATTGGGGCACAGCTCTGATGCTGCAAATCCAGAGAACATGCTGCCCAGTTCACTATAGTTTGTTCCCTTTTCGATATTTTTCCTGCATAATTTTTGGAAACCGTTATTGAATCAGACCAAAATTGTCCGACTGTTGGCGCTGCTGTCCGTCATTAGTAAGCGCCCACCGTCGCATCGCATGATGCATGGGCGCTGCTCATTTTCAACAAACACAGCTGCTCGAAGCCCCGGCGCCTGCGCTAGTTGAGGTGGCTTGCTGCGAATAGAACGGACGGAGGGCAATGAACGTTCGCGAACGAACGCCGCTCCGTTGATAGGAGTCCGATATTTGTTCAATGTTTTGGCATGGCGGGTGGAAGTGTGCCCGTCAGTGAACGACGAAAAGCAACTGTCCATTCAGTGCAAGGATGTCGATTTTCATTGCTTGACACGTGTGGTCCAAACCGCCTTGGAATTCGCAAGGATGAGCTTCCAGTGGGACGAATCGCTACGGTGGCGGCCACCGTTTCAAGAACAGGTGGTGCAAGACATAGTACTTTGTACTACTGTGCTATGCCACGTTTTTCAAGAGGTGTGTGTTGCCAAGGGTTATGGTGGCGAGGTAACACCTCACCGTGATCGCCACGGCAGCGCAGTGGGCGGAAGCGTGAACCCGCCCGTGAATGAAACAGACACGTCGTTATTTGCTCCATGGCAGTGAACTTGGATGGCATTCACGACGTCCACCGCTGACAAAATGTGTGCTGCCAAAGACAAGCAAAACGCTGCCAAGCACTAAGTCTTGCGCCTATTGAGCTCCAAAGAGTGTTTTGTGTGCTCGCGGGTTTGTCTCTGAGAGGATCTTCATATGGAGCGGCACGTGTGACTTGTTTTCGATTGGCAGGGGCCTCTGGGACGTCGAGGCCTTGGCACACGAGGAGGCTGGGTACATGTACCGATACCAATACAACGGGGCGGGCAGATCTGCGGCGTGGCTGTCGGGCAGCAACTACATCGTGATCGACGTGGCAGCGGGGCCTTGCACGTTTGGGCCACGAATGGGCGCTTCGGGAGTGGTCACTCCCCTGTCCATACCAAGGATTTCGGTCAGTGCACGAGGACAGTACATGAGGACAGTGTCGTTAAGTTCGGCTTCAATTGCGTTGGCACGTGGAAACGACCCCTTTTTCGCACATTTGGGGAACCAATGGGCGGCTGCATGCCATGATATCGATGCGATCGATCGCGCCTGTCTCCTTGTCAAGCAATACGGCCAGTGCATGATGGAGGTGGTGGCCAATTCGGCTTGTGTTGCGCGTGTCCAATTGGCAAAACGAAGTCCTATTGCGCCTAGTGGGCCTTGTGGTACAAGGCGCTCAGCGCCTTTGTGCCTACCAGCCTGGTGGGCACAGGGCAGCGGTGCTAGAAACTGTGGCTGTCCGTTGTGTGTACTGTGCTTCAGCCCGTGGATCGTTGCATTGGAAATTGGCGGTGAATTTTGGCTTGCATTCTGGCGGTGGCGAATTTTTCTTTAGTGCTGCCTGCAAAATGCAAGCCGGAACATCACCCGAACATTGGCCGTCAGGGTCGCCACCCCGGATTTTAGTCAGCAGCTTGATTCCGGCTTGATGCTGCCAGATGCCGCCAATGTGAACTGCGCTAAACTAATCTAACCAAACTACACTATACCAAAATAGATTGTGACATAAACGAAACCCACTGAACTTGGTTGTGAGATTTAGTGATTCTGAACTGGATACACAATTGCTGTGGAACTGGCCCTGAACCAAACTGTGGGATACTGTAATGGGAAAGTGAGCTAGTCAGGGCCATGATCCTGAGTTGGACTGCTGCGCTCGATCTGCAGGATGTCATGTACCAGAGCGTCGGCTCTCTGATGCTGCATGGCGACAACATGACCGACGCGGAGACCATGACGGCTGTGGCCGTTGCGCGGGACGCAGTCTTCAGGGGGAAGGTGGCGGCGACGATTGTGTCTGCCATCCGGCACGCCATTCTCCCCGACGTCTGGGTGAACAACGTGGGCAACTTCGAGCGCGTCATGGTGCGCACACGACTCAATTCGATTCGACTTGGGAGCCTCACGTTCCACGTGGAGGTGGAGATTGTGTCAGAGTACAGAATGCGCATTGGAGGACACGCTTTTTTGGTATTTTTAATCTGTGCAATTTTTTTCGTATCTGCAGTGTTTTTATCTCTGCAATTTATTCTTTATTTGTGCAACAGTGAAGCAAATCTTCCAATTGGTAAGCGAACGGATAAACAGGTGAGCAAATGAAAGAACAGATGGATGGACAAAGCAAACTGGTGTGCAAGCAACATGTAAATGAACAAGTAAACCAACATATAATTGACAACAAATGCAAATGCATGTACAAGCTTATATATAAATAAGCAAAACAACTACATGCACAAGCAAACGAATAAAGAAACTAATACGCTCAACTGCACGCTTTCGTGAATGTGTTGTTTGCTGCTGAGTAGCTCGCCGCTGTTGCCCTCCAGGTGCCAATAATGGTGGTCCGCAACCACCTGGATTTCAACCCCCTGGAGCCCGGCCACCGCTGCTCTATAAACGCCACGCGCATTCAGGAGCAGGTCTTTGGGATGCTGGGGACGCGCCAGGACGCCGTGGTCACAATTTCGCTGCACTCGCTGCACGAGCATCGCCAGCTGGCTGTTGCCCTGAAAAAGGCGATGTACAGCAAATCGGAAGCCGTTGTGCTGGATGGCGATGCACCTGGTGCGCGTGAATGCTTTTTTCTTTTTTTTTTCTTTCTTCTTTTTTTTCATTTTTCCTCTTTTTTAAAATATTTCATCACACATAAGCCTCCAGGTGCCTCGCCCGTCCTATCACAAGCTATGTGGGCCTTGCACCACCGAGCAAGAGTGTGCAAGGTGATGTAGAACCCCAAAAATTGTTCGAATACAAAAGAGTGCTCAGTCTGAAGAAAGAGAAAAGAGAAGTACAGCACTCCGGGGGAGTCCTGGCAGATCAGCAATCAGAGAAAATCGCATTTGTGAGTGAATGTTTTTGTTGCATTGGTGTTAATCAACAGCTTAATGTCGCGTCACCAGCCCATGCAAGCAGTAGCAATTTGTTCGTCCTTGATGCACTCGCCCAGCAAGGTGCCACTTCGAAGGACATTTCTGAACCGCCAGGTCACCAAGACGCGCGGATCAGAAAAATGTATGTGAAAAAGTGCATCCTTCGCATATCGATACCCAGCGCAAAATGTGCCTTTCCTACCGTAGAACCACAACATGTAATGTCACACGTTGCGTAGTGCTCAGGATGTTTAACAGCCTTGAGACACGCACGCTTTGAGCGTCTCTCAACACCTGGCCAATGGACCCGGCAAATGGACGTGGCAAGGAATGTTGTGGAATGAAGATATCCGACATTTGGTGTCACGGCAGAATGGGCACATCACCGACCGTGCTATACCCACAATACATGAATCATCCAAATTTGTCATGGCCACGTCCAGGGCCGCTCCGAAATGACGTGGCATGGACGCTGCACCACCCACTTCTTTGCTTATTTGGACTCAACACGCTTTCCACTCTATCATGCAGAATGTCCATGGTGCTGGGGCGTTTGCCCAGCCGATCGCCTTGATGGGGCGTCGGCCAGAAAGGTTGTGAAATGTTTTGAGTCGCTTTTGAACTATATTGTGCGCTGGTTATTGTCACGTTTGATGATGCACTGAAGCATGGGGCGACGAGAACTTTGGGCGTTTGCGTGCAGTTGAGAGGAGCCACAGGTTGCCTGCGAAAGGGGTGCATGGCTTGAGCTGCACAGGAAATGCTGGGGAACGTTATCGGGTTGCTGCTTTTACGGTCACTGAAGCACTATTCATGAACACCACAATGGCTCATGGGTCCCTGAGATGGAGCACGCCGTGTGCCAATGCCCTTTCATTTCATCTGATCATTGTGAGCCGAGCAAATGCAAGCCTGGCATATTTCGTCCCGTTCGCCTTAGCGCTTGCACTGCATTGAGCTGCTCTGGTGAGCTTTGCGCTGTGTTGTGCTGCCCTTCACTTTGCTCACCCGGACTGCGCCAAATTAAGCCGCTCAGCACTGAACTGCACTGCTCTGCTGGAATGCCGTAGAGAGGATTTTTCTGAAGGTGGCCATGATGACGTGCAGGCATCCACAGGCGTTTCAACTCGTACATTAACGCAGACGCCCTTTTGGAAGAGTTTGGCCATGCTTCCGACACATTGACCTCAGGCTGGATAGGTGAGTGCGGCTCGTCTTGGTGTGCCAGTGCCCCCTTTGCAGGTGTACTACACGAGTGCATGTTGAAGCCTACATTGATCACAAATGTGAATTCTGACGAAGTACACACATGTACGGCGTATTGCTTTTTTTATGAGCTGTGCAGTTTAGTACATTGCATTCATGGCTAGTAATCGATGCATGCTTGAAGTCCATATCATGAAAATACTCTCGTGTGTGTGAATTTCTCGTGAATAACGTCGTTGTCGCTCACCATTGTTCGTTGTTGATTGCCAACTAACACACTCAGAGTTTCAGCTGCCCTGCATGGCGAGGGGCAATATTGTGTGAATTTTGTGGATGGATTTTGTCGAAATCCACAGCATCCGAAGCCTTTGCTCAGTATACGTGATGCCAGGCGCATGTGAGCCAGATTTTCAAACACATTGAAGGGCAGCCATGGTGCCGCATATTCCTCCTTTCTGCTGGATGCATTGCCTCAACGCTTGCGTTGAAATCGCGTTAGTTTTGCTGCTTTTTGTGAAAAGAAAAGTTAAACAAACTCATTTTGCTGCTTTTTTGGGGTTCTCAGGGGAGAGTTTGGACAAGCGGACGCCGTGGGCATCCAAAGAGAAGCGCCACAACACCCGCATCGTTCCTGTGTATGTCCTTTCAATAAAGGACGCCCCGTTCAATCTGCTGATGGACAACAGAGGTGGGGTAACGTAGGGCGCTGGTGACGTTTGACTTTGAAACCTTGGGGGAACAGTAGAAATGGAAATCTGGGCTGTGGTTGAGTAGCGTGACAGAACTTTTGCGGCAATAAGGCACTTGCATCTGAAATGCAATGGCACTGGTAAAATCGGCACGAAATTCAAGCCTAAGAAGAAGCGATTCAACCCCTTGCAAGTGGGTATAAACGTCGAGCACTGGAATACGATTCGAATGCGATTCAGTACCGTGTCAGCACGATTTGTGACGTTGCAAGTGCTTGTGCGAAATGGGCAATTTTTAAGCCAGTGTGACAAGAGAAATGTCTCTTCGAAGCGTCTGTTCATTTGCAGTGCGCTTTTCGCAAATGGGATGACTGGGTGAGTTGTGGCGTACACAACATATAATCAACAAAATGTGGCACAACCAAGTAATGTAAAGTGCTAAACGCTGGCCTGTTGTCCAAAAGACAGTGTTTTAATCAAAACCCACTGCCTACATACAGACACTAGGAACAAGTGCTCCTTGTCATACCCCGGTTCGTCATCTGGAATGTCCTGTTGCGTCGCAACGGGGCTCAATCATGAACGGATGATTTGAATGGAGAGTAACTTGATGTTTGCCATTGTTTGAAATCAGGAGGGTTTGGCCGTTGGTACTTTTGCGCGCGACAGTGTTTTTTTTCCAAGGCTTGGGGCTCAAGGTTGACGCGATATCAGCGTTGCTTTTTTCTATTTCATATTGGTTAGAGAGTGTGCTAGTTTGGAGAAGTTGGATCATGATCTATCAACGACTGAAATTGAAGTAGTGATATTAACTATTCATAGAAATCGAGCCTTGCACCTGACAGGTGGAATACAGTGTATGCTTGTATTGTGCTTGCCCGCAGACGGAATGGCATAGCAGCGGGGCAGACTCCAACTGGCCTGGGAACCTCCCAGCATAGCCATCCATTTCTATCCCTCATTGGTTTAACTCCGTTCCTATGTCTCTCACACTTCACTAGCCTTCCGCTTCTTCATTTTTGGGCCCCGTAAACGAGAATGCCGTCATTGTACTGCTGACCGTGGGTGTGATACCGTATAGTGTTCAACCCTTGAGCATCAAAAAGATTTATCGTTACGCATTTTACGAAAATTTTTGCTCCACATTTTTTCAGAGCATTGTTTGTTTTTTCCGCTCCTCTGCAATGTTGCTGCGCGATTTCGTTTCCCCAAAGAAGGCCAAACGTTACGTTACTACCCGGAAGGTTTGAATAAAGTACTGTAACGTCCAGCCAATGCGCACTGTTCCGGCGCCATTGCTTCACTATTTCTGTCATGTGGTCCTTGGATAAAGCCATGCCGTTGTTCGCATACGCTCAGCTTGCCTTGATGTATTCTTTATGAAACAGGAGATATATTAAGGAAAGAATGAAGAAAGAATGATGTATGAAGAAAGAACGCATTCTTTATGAAACAGGAGGTGTGTATGAAAGAAAGAATGAAGAAAGAATGGTATAGAAAGAAAGAACATGTTCTTTATGGAAACAGATGATGTATTCGAAATGAATTGTATCTTGTGTGAGTCTTGCTCGTGTTTGTTATCAGGAATAATGGCCGCAAACGAGAATGCAGTCATCGTGCTGCAGACTGCCACTGTGGTGGGCGCGTCGCAGTACGGGCAGGCCGACGTGGGCCACAATTTGGAGGGGCAGCCCGTGTACATTTCGACACTGGAGGTGGAGAGGCACATCACCGCTGGAATCGCCACGACGCTCATGGGTGGGTGCAATGGTCTTGGCGCACAACAATATGCCCAATGTGCGCATGTGGAAATGCCACTCTCGGAACCATTCCGAACCTTTCAGCAACATGTAGCGCTCGCAAGCCCTGTAAGGTACTATGCCTTGTGGCACATTTCACCAGAAGAAGGTGCATTACGTACAATGCCTATGGTTTCGTATCATGCAAAGCCATCTGCATAGACAAGCTTGCGCGCACAACGATGCTTCATGCTTCGCTCCCTTTTATTCAGCTGTGCTGCGTCAATGACAGAGAGCCGTAGTGTGGGGCATCGTGGGAGCCTTGATGTGAGCAAGGTGCTTGCAGTCAGAAATTGTGCACGTCTTCGGCATCTGGTTCACTCACCCAAGCGAGCATGTTGGATCTGCAAGTATCGGGCAGAACTAAACACCATTTATCCAGCGTTCTAAATACAGTTACATAAGAACAAGAAGAGAGTACAACAAGTAGCAAAACAAAACAAAGTAAATAAATGTAAGTGTGAGTAAAACGTAAGTGTAAATAAGGTGTAAAGGAAGGCACTATGCCGATTTTGTTACGCTTAGCGTCAATTTGATGTTAGGGGGAGGGGGGATAAAGATTTGTTACAAAGAGAAAGTCAAACATGTCATACAAAGTGCACCCCCTCCTGGGCAAGTGCATGTAAGGCTCGTTTCCATCCTGTCAAAAGATGACATAGAGACTCTAATGGGAAAAGGCGAGCACACAACACAAGCAATTCAGAGGCAAGAAAGCACGCACTCAGGGGTTATGTACGAAAGGTGGAGAATGTGCGAAAAGTCAAGTGTAATGTAAGGCCTCCGAGGACCTGCCTATGCACCCAAGACCCATCCACCCAGTACTCAACTCCCCGCAGCGGCCCAAACAAAAAGCTCCTGGCACCCCCGGACGACCCTAGACGTCCCGTTGCAGGTCCAACATACGTGTTTGTTCTTGAAAGGCTCGGGGGTGTGTGCGGGGTGGCGGCGCTCTCAGCTTAGCGTCAAATTATCTCAAGTGTATCAAAATCGACATGGTGCCTTCCCTAACTAGGGTGCAAGTAAGTAAGTAAAGCATTGTTTTAGACTGGGATGGGGCGATGTGCGTCTGTGAACCGCAGGCGCCAGCCCGCCCTACGAGTCCCACAACACTTACAGGCGCGGCGCCTCCAACGACTGGCTGTGGGCGGTGGGCCACACACCCCACGGGCCCTACTCCAACGTCTCCACCCTCAGCGCCCTGAGCCTGGCGTCCATGCGCCGGGGGGCGGTCGCCATCCGCGTGGAGCAGCTGCTGAGGGCCCTGCGGGCCGCGTTGGCAAAGGTGGACGCCTTCTCGGAGGAGTACTGCAGGCCGGCCTTTGCTGACGTGACCGGAGTGGGGCGCGCGGTGCCCCCCCCAGAGAACGTGACGTGGCTGGACATTTTGTACCGGTGGGTTGGGGGGCGTGAAGCCGTTGTCTCTAGAGTTAGGTCTTCTCAAAAGCTGGTGTTCCCTAAAATATTTTCCTCTAAACTGGCCGTTTCGTGGATTGTGGAGTCGCGGTTGAGCCTGTACTTGCGATTTAATGGAATGCTTGTGCAATGTTTGTGGGCCGTGGTGGAGAGATGATGTATGATGTCATACATTAGATATACATTGCATTTAAGTTATGTATATTCTTTCGCTTCCTTTTAAAGTTGCAGCTTGATAGATGACGGAAATCGCGTGTCAACAGTGTACCACATTCGAAACATGATTGAATCACGCACCGCCTTCATTTCGAGCATCGTTGCTTTTCTTGGCCAGCATCAGGCTTGGTTTTTACGTTTACGTTTTTACTTTTACGTTTTTACGCGTAAAAACGTAAATTTGCAAAAGGCCCTATTTTTACGGCTATTTTTACGTTTTTACGGCTCCCTTGGACGCCCAGATTACGTGATGAAAGTTGCGTACAAATGGTCAGTCCTCCGCCATATCCAGCACCCGCAACACAGTGTCCACCTCGCCCTTGGCAAGGGCGATGATGATGTTTGACAAAAACTCGTTTTCTGCCCCTTCCAGGGCATCTGGCTGCCGCTCTCCGGACTGTATGTACTGTCCTTATGTACATCGGGCAGTTTTTACGTTGTATTTACGTATTTTTACGCATTTTTACGCGTAAAAACGTAAAAACTGTTTTTACGCGTAAAAACGTAAATACAATCAGTTTTTACGGCGTAAAAACCAAGCCTGGCCAGCATGTAATTGTTCGTGGATATTTGGATGGATGAGTGCTGAGCGAGTGATTTAGGAATAGGAACAGGGACAGGCATGGTATTACTAAGCAGGAATGAAAACAAGGATAAGATCAGGTTTTGGATATTTCATGCTTTCAATATGAGCTGCAGTACTATCGCCTTTGTCCAAAACTGAGTTCGCAGGAGTGTCGCCATGGAAAGAGTGGCCTGCTTCCTGTTCTTAATCTTAATCTGTATATAGTGGTAATCTAATCTAATTTTTAATCTTAATCTTAATCTTAATCAAATCTTAATCAACGTCCTGGTCAAAATCTTAATCCTTGGCTGTTCGCAGGGATGCGGGCGGAGGCGACCCGCCCCTCCCCCCCACCGTCATCAGTGACATGGAGTCTTCCCTCCTGCGCTTCGAAAAGGAGCTGGTGTCCGCGGCCCGCATGATCTACGACGGCAAGCTCACCGAAGCCGAGCAACACCTTAAGCTTCTGGGCGGCCTGGAGAGGGGCTTCGTGCAGAAGGTGGACGCCGCCCTGGCCGATGCGCGAGCCAGAGTGAGCTGCTGCCACGTGGAGCACGCGCTGCGGCGGCCGCCATCGCGGCTGGCCGTTTACACCGTGGTGGTGTGCGGGGCCATGCTGGCTTGGGCGGTGGTCGGGGCGTGCTGCGTTGTGCGGGAGGGCGAGCAGGGGCCGTTTCTGATGCAGTCGCACGCGGCTGGCTTCCGATTCTGACGATTGTGCCAGCGTGTCGAAAATCACTTATTCTTTTTTTTCCTTTTTCTTTGGGCTGGGGGTTGGGGGGTCAAACAGGAATGTGCGCAGAATGTATGAAACTGTTTAAGAATTATGCAAGACAAAATTGGCCACCTCTTTGCTGGACCCCGTTGAGGTGGGAAAAGCGTCATTTGGCTGGCCGTTGGCCAGTGTTGTCGATACAATCCCACGGCTCTGGGTCCGGTGTGCGACCGTGCTGCTCCTCGTCAGTAAAATGTCCCGTGTCCCGAACATCCTGGACATATGCGCTGGACATGTCCGCCACATCCTGGACATGTCTTGGACATGTCCTGGAGTTGGATACGGGTTCCAAAATCATCCTCCATGCTCAGGGTGTCCTGGGAATCTTGCATATCTTTGTTGTGGACGGTCCATATCCACGATGTGGGGATTCCTTATCTTGCATATTGTGGCAGGATGTGGACACATCCTGGATGTGTGCATCCAGCGCGCGCAACTCCTCTTGATGCCCCCTGCTGGTTTGGTGTGCACTGGCGAGGATGGTTCAGTTATGACCGACGAATGCCGTGCGGCCCTCTGCTTCTGTCTGCATCCGTCATCAAATCGGTTGGAATTGGCGAAAGGACCAACCCAGCTGTTGTCTGATGCCCGTTCTGGAATGTTCGCTCATTGCCTCATGGACGGAAGCGCCAGGACATAAATTGACAAGGGAGAACAGCTCGAAGCTAGCCGTCACCGCAGAAGCTAAGTTCTGAACCTAATCCTAATTGCGTGATTGTGGCGGGTGTTGAAAGGATGCTGCTTCATCGCCCAGGCCCAGCGTCCAGCGTCTTGTTTAAGAACTTGCGGTGCGCAAAGGCCATCCAGAATTTATCCGGCACGTCCCCGTCGCTGTAGATAGTGTCGATGAGGCGCCGCCCCACTTCCTCTCGGCACTGGCGGAAGTACTGGCGGACCAAATCTGAGAAGTGCAGATATGAGCAGTCGCATCACCTCATCAGGCAAACGGTAATAAAGGATTCCAATACCGCATAGTATTTCTGTTCTTCATGTAGGCTAGATGAGTTGAAACTGAAACAAGCCATCAAAGGCGACCCATCGTTTTTGCACCGTTGGCAGACCGCTCCTCCCACTTGGGCAACGGACCATAAGTCGCAAACTGTTACCAGTGTGAGCTGCAGCAACTCTTACCATGCCCAAGCTTGTGCATTCATCTACCCAATCTTTTGACATTCTCAATAATACCTGGAACATCGAAAGAATATGCACTATTCTTAAATATTAAATCCTGTATTATCAAGTACATTACTATATCCTACATTTCATTAAGTGCATTGCACGCATCAGGTTCGTTTGCGCCACTTTTATCTAGCTGTGGGCTCCGCCTCCACCCAGTGTCTCGCCGACCTTGCTCCGCCTTCTCAGTGGGAGGCGCCATGAGGCCGGACAGGCCGAAGCCCGCCTCCCCTGGGACCCGGACAGTTTCGTGGGCCAGCATGAACAACATCCGCCCGGCTTCCTCCTTGCCTCCCTTTGCGTCAAGCAGCCCTGAGGCACATGGCGCATTGTTTTTGACCAACAATGCTGATGCTGTTCCTTAAGAATGCTTAACATCCTCAAAGATTGCTATCCTTAAAAGCTGCCTTTTACAGTACAAAGCGGTGCCCTTGCACCTTGCAAGCGATGACGGGCGTGCAGGCATCCGAGGACGTTTTGTGTCCGGCATCTCTTGATTAAACGAACAGATGCGGATACATTTCTATCTGTTCGCCACTCGTGTGGCTAGGCACTGCTATATGATTGATATCCCGAGCCATTCATGTTGATGCGGTCGATGAGACTGACGACTGCATTTGTGATGATGGTGCTTTTGTGCCCGTCCCATCCATCGGTGCACGCCCTTTGGCCTGCTCTGGTAGTTTGTGGGAATGGCCCATGTACAGCATTGTTGTGCTGGATTATATTTCTGGTAATCTCCAAATGCCTGGAGAAGATTCAGCTGCTGAGTCCATGCGCCACAGTGCAGGAATGTGCAGCGCATCAGAATGTAGCTTTGTTTAAGGGCATATCAATTGTGTAAGTGTGTGCAGATGTGTGTTACTGTGGGTCCCAATCACACAAGAACAGCCAGTCATTCAATATATGCTGTGCCTTCTTCCGCTTTGCAGCTCTACATTTAGGGCTACTACTGGCAAAAGAATCCGAACAAACTACTGTGGGGGGCTACGAAAGGGTGCTGCTGTTTGTCCCCCGGATCATGATGAGAATTAGGGGGTTGCTCCAATGGATGCCAAGTTTTCTAGTCTTTGAATACATCCAAAAACACACACACACATGCAGTGATGACCCCCATCTCACGAAAAAATACAGCACCAATTGCCACATGTGGGGTTGTCAAGCTTCAGGCTGGAGGAGATAGGAGGCATCAATCTCCAAGGGAAATGGCAGCACAATCTACAACTAACATCCATTCACGAGGGTGATTCAATGCTTCATAACCATTGAGGTGCAGGGGTACTTCGGGAAGTGACCATGGGGTTGCTGGACATGTTCCACTGGGCCTCCACTTTTTCAGGGTGCAGCATCCAGGGACAAAAATTGTTCTGATCTGCTTGTGAGACCATCTGTTTGACAGCACTGCAGGTGATGTCACCTTCTTTGTTCACACACCATTCAAGGAATCTCAACTGATCCCCTTCTCAAATAAAGACAACATCCCTGTCGCTTGTTAAGGGACACTGATCTGAGGAGGTGTCACGAACTGCCCAGTATCCAGTTGGGGCTCCAATCTTTTGCCAAAATCGTTGTTTTCTGTTGAAACTCGCACTGCTCTTTAGCAGTCAATGTAGGCCCGCTCCCCCAGTACCAGAATAGGGAACAGAGATAAGAATACCAAGGCCTGAACTGACTGCTAAGAGCTCGCTGTTTCAAGAAACGCAGGCTTGGCGAGATTGCCAAAGACCTTTCGAGTTTGGGAGACCACAAATAGCACTGCCCTGCGCCATGCGCCACGAGCTCCTCCCTCCCCCCAGCGCCCAAGACCTTGCAGAGTTTGCTGTTGCCTAAGAGCATCCGAGCTTCAGAAATGCAGCAGAAGACAATATATCAAAGACAAGACGCCCAAGGCCCAAGAGAGTTTACTGTTTCTTAGCAGCACTCGAACTTGCAAATGCAGCTGACGCCAATACAGCCGAGACAGATGCAGCATAAGGCTGGCCCGCCCTGCCGCGCGCCCTTACTCTCCAGGCAGGCTGCGATGTGCATCGACAGGTAGACCAGCAGCCTATCCGCCGGGCCCTGCACCTCGAAGGACTTGAAGAACACGTTGGGCCGGAAGAGGTGGAGCGCCTCGTCCACGATGTCGGGATCGGCGGTGGGCCCCGCGGGGCCGCGCGCCCGGCCCCTCAGGCTCAGGATGGGGCAGCCGCAGGCCAGCTGCGAGGGTGTGGCGTTGAAGCTGGAGTGGTAGGCCATCCGAACGGGCTCGCAGGATTCGATATCTGTCCGCATCCCGACTTGCGAATACCTGTCATTTGATTGTGTTCGTTGCCTGCCGTTTGATTGCGTGAATCATTCATTTATTACATGCCCATGATATTGTATCATAATTTTATCATAATTTATATATTTTCATTTATTACGTGCCTATCATGTTTGTTGTTTCCGGGCACGAAGGCTCGGGATGGGGCAGCCGCAGGTCAGCTGCACGGGCGCGGCGTTGAAGATGTAGTGGTAGGCAATGCGAACCGGCTTGCAGGTTTCGCGATCTCTCGGAATCGCGACTTGCGAATGTCCGATACCTGTCATTTCATTGTGTGCATCATTTATGACAATACGTGTTATTTCACGAGAGCAACCGTTCATTTGTCATATACTGGTCATTTTTTGTTGTTTCCGGACACGAAGGCTCGAGCCTCCTAAGCTCAGAACGGGACGACGGCAGGGCAGCTGCGTGGCACGGCATTGAAGCTGGAGTGGTAGGCCATGTGGCCCAAGGGGGGGGAGATATCGGGATCGACGCAAACTTGTCGAGCGTAGGGAACTGATGGATTCTGGACTTTTTTTATGTTGTACAATGAATTTCCTATCAACAATTCATGGACACTGCTTTGCACCGGCAAACTACAGGAATCTGACGGCTACCTCCCTGCCTTGTCAAAGTTCATGGTGGCGATGATCTCGGGATAGAAAGGATTGCCTGAAACTTATTATTTCCGGACCTGGGGGTCATGAAGATGTCGTAAAGGCCGTGAAGGGAAGGAGGCCCCTAAGAACCTGATAGCCTGAAAAACCCTGAACCTGAACATGATCTTCACCATCTTGACGACCTCATGACTTTCACCACGTGGGGATAGCGATTTTGCTTCACCGAGTGACATTGCGATCTCACAAGTGCTGCCCGGGCGCCTGGCCGGCCTTTGTGGCAGCATGTGCACGCAACCCTGGTGCGCCATCCCCAACTTGCCTTATCCAGTCATATACAACGCAGCTCGTTAGATGCAGAGCGACTTGTTGAACAGGAACTAGGAGCTTCCTATACAGCGGGGCGACCCTGACAAGGCCGGCGCCCCACTTCATGTACAAAAATGAGAAATTATGGGAACTTGGGAAATGTATTCCTCCCCCAGTGTTTTCGTCGATGCCCCAATCTGTTCAGCGCTTTGTGTTTTGGAGTGCTGGGTGCATCATCAATGAGACAAAACCGGCCCTCCTCACACACACTGTCGCTGCTAGGCCCGGGGAGCCAATCCATAACCTGAAGGATAACAGGATGAATGTACGCGTCAAATGGCATCCACCGTCAGCGTATCCGGTTCGTATTCCCCATATCTCTAAATTATTCCCCCGTATTCACAATACAATCGCCATATTATCTCGCACCGGATTTCACGTTAACTCTCACTAATCGCTCAACTAGTTATTTTGTCCTCACAATCAACATATGTAAATTGCTCATCGAGGCGTTAAAGCTGAGACCTCCCCTAAAGGGGACGCGGCTATCAATGGGTAGCTGACGGCTACCTCCTCGCCTCGACAAGGAAGATTTCTTGATGATGATTGTGACGTGAAGTAACTAGATGAGCAATTCAGGGGAGATGATGTGACCTACGGTGTGAGCCAATATGGCGGTTCGATGTGAGTACTGTGAAAGCAGCATGAAGACATGGGGAATACCACTTGGGTAAGCTTAGAGTGGATGTTGTTTGACGGGACCACTCATCCTGTCATCCATCTGGTTGCGGCTCGGCTTCCAGTCCATGCGAGCGACGGTGCTTTTGAGTCTCGGTGAGGGCCTCCAAGCCTCGTTCTGCAAAATGATTGATGATGATGATGAGAGTCTCGGTTTTCGTCACCATGATGAAGGGGCTATTACATGCCCGTCACCGGAATTACGCTACCGCGCCACACACCATCCCACGCGCCCACACCTCACAGCATCCACCACCTGTCGCACTTACGAGACTCCCTGGCGACACTCCCGGCCCCAGAAAGGCTCTCCTGGCGACCCATGCCTCGCTCTGTCCCCTCCCGCCGCCCTCCCTCCCCCCCTCTCCCCCGCCCCCTTGCTTCGATCGGCCGCCCTGGGCCATGATCCTCTACAGCAAGAACTACTGGGGCCTGCCCTTGTTGGTGCGCTTTTATGGATCGGCATTCCCGAGGACAATCCCTTTCGCAGTGATGAGCGGCGCAATCTCGGTGGCGCTGGAGTGGACGGTGGCCAAGGACGAGGACGGGCTGCCCAGCGAGAGCAGGAGCTGGTGGGAGCACCCCTACCCCTACCAGACGTTTGCGTTCATCGTAGGCTTCATGCTGGTCTTCAGAAGCAACTTCGGTTACGGGAGGTACTGGGAGGGCCGTACGGCGCTGCAGGTGCAACCCCATTGGTGCGCGCCCCACCTTGGCCAAAAGAGGCCCCCGGCTGCCAAGAACAGTCGAGATCGTGCAGTTTCGGCCCCTTGTTGCGAATCTGGGAACGTTGATTGTCGTTGGAAGCAACACAAGTCGCGCAAGGTACTGGGAGGGCCGCACGGCGCTGCGGGTACGGCCGGCAAGCGCAAGGCCAACTTGGGGACAAAAAGAGGCGGGCGTAAAGTCGAGGTGGCGCAAGTTTGGTGCCTCGTCGCGAATCTGGGAACCTTGATTGCCTTCCAATGCAACTTTCACGAAGGGCGGGTAAGGTACTGGAAGGGGCCGTACCGCGCTGCGGGTACGGCCAGCAACACCGCACCCTGCTTTGGGCAAAAGAGGCGCCCTGATTGGCCGAAGAAGCCTAGGTGCTGCAAGTTTGGCGCCTTGCTGCGAATCTGGGATGCTTGTTTGCCTTCCGCAGCAACCTCGGTTGCTGGCGGTACTGGGAAGGCCCCGCGGCGCTGCATGTGCACCCGCCAAAGGCGCGCGCCCCACCCAACCAGAAAAGCCGCCCAGTTTAGCTGAAAAAGTGGAAATACTGTAGTTTTGGTGGCTTGCTGCGAATCTGGGAGTCGTGAATTTTTTAGGGGAGGTGGGGTGGGGTGGGGCGATGACTGGCGCTGACGCTGGTGCCTCGGGTGTTGGGTCAGCGGTCGGATGGCACTCGATGGCCGTGCCGCTGGCTCGAGGGGCTCTCGCCAAGGGCGAAGGGCTCACCGGTGAAGGCCGATTGGAGCAAGGGGGGGATGACAATCGCACTGCCTGCATATGAATCAATAGCCTGGCTGGTGCCGCAATGTTCTGTGGGATATGTGCGAAAGATCCTTTGCACTAAAAGACAGCATTTTGGCGAGGCCATTTGGGTACTTATTGATGATGTCACCGTTAACAGTTATTGTGATGCCATCCCACTAACGGCGATGGCGCCACTTAGTGTCAAGATGGCGTCACTGTGAGAATTGCCAAAATGGTGCTGTCTGTCTGTGTTGATCAAAACGCTGAAAATCGAAGCCCACATGTGTGTGTAAGCACATATTGGATTCTTTCATCAGAGAACCATGAATTGTGACCTTCCGATTGGTGTGGGGATGGTGGGGTTGAGTACAGGCACAGAATGGTCAGAATGGTGTCCTTGTAAATGCCAAAGCCCAGACTCTGGGGTTGGAATTGGGATCTAAGCCCAACCCCTAGTGCTTAGTTTCTGCAATGGGTCCCTGTCGCATTGGGACCTGCAGCCACACCCTATGCCGCTCAAGGCAGCTGGGAGAGCTGAGCAAATTCTGGACAGCAACTTCCTGCTCGGGGCTGGGCATTGCGCTGGTCCATTTGGAAGGTGATGCTGCACACCTGTGCTGCCAGGACACTTTCTTTGGCCTCTGCTTGTTGAACTCATGCAGACCTGAGGGAACAAGGGACACTTGGTGGATCCTGCTGTGGCTGTATTAGCCTGTGCGGTGTGCAAAGGGCTTGGATTCCTCATGCGCTGATGGAACAATGAAATCCACGGCCTTTGGCTCACCATTCTATCATACACTCTATGGTCACCCCTGCAAACCGGATGGTCGGATGGGAGGGCGGGGCCTGTACACAAAGTACAGGAGGCTGGCAGCGGTGGAAAGCACCAATGTTGCGATGCTCACTGCAATGCCATGTGGCACCAAATGATATGCCATCGCAGATATTTTCTGTACTATGCCATCGCAATCACTGAGATGGCAACACTTAGTGCCAACATGGCATTGCAGTTGGCATTGCGAAAACATCTTTTTAACCAGTGTGGGTGGCATGGGGACAGGCCTGGTGCAGTAAGCTTTGGTGTGTGTCCCCAGCTGATGTCCGCCAAGTGGAGCGATGCCGTGATCCAAGTCCTCAATTTCGACTTTGGCACGCTGCCGCCCGATCTGGACGACGAGGGCAAACGGCGGGCACGGCGCTTTGGTGACACCTTCGTGCACCTGATGAGCCTGCTGCACGCAGTGGCGGTCCAAAACCTGAGGAAGGACTGGGAATTGGACAACCTGAGGCCTCACGATCAGGGCCAACCGGAGCCGCCCATGGATCCCAGGTACCAAAGGCTGCTTGTTTGTTTTTTCTGCAAATTTTCACATGTTTTCTGCTGTAGCTTTTACGTTACATCCAGCAGATATAGCACATTTAGCAGATTTAGCGTATTTAGCAGATTCTATCATTTCGATGATGCAGCATGTGAGGAACGATTTTGGGAGCAAGTCCGTTCACCTAATGGTGTACAATATTAGTTGCCTAATATTGTAATATGGGCTAATGTTGGACCGGATCTAAAGCTCTTGGGAAAAGAAGTATGAGGCTCGGTTGTTCACAGTACTTGCTTGTACCGGTTTCCTGGAAGACTGCTACCTTTGCCATTTGGACTGCAACTATGGTTCCTCGACAGAACGCAATTCATAACAATAACAGCTGAACAGAGTTGATATGTTATTAACACAAATGAGTAATGTACTCAATAGCAGTGCTCAACGGTGAAGAGTATAATTCAGTAGTCAATGACAATGTGATTACATTTATATTTGAATTTTCCATTTGCTGCGAGCTTTGCTTTTGTGTTCTGGATAGAAACGCACTTTAGAAGATTGCGTGTCACTTCGAAGACACACCGAACTTACGCAAGCATTTCGAAAATTTGAACTTGCTAGTTACGCTCACATACCGGAGTTTGAAAAAGTTACGAAAATTGGCGCTTATGTTCCATTCACTGGCGCCCACGCCTGCATCGAACGCTGCTGCGCCGACGCTCGCAAAATGTCCAATATTCCTGACATCAAAAAGACATGGGCGCCATATCCCGTGGCTGCATTACCTGGATATGGCCGTATCCTGTCAGGATTCGTATATTATATTCGGTGAATATAGATTCTTCATCTCCAAGCTATGGAGCCCCACTGTTCTGGATATGCACCTTTTTATCGACATATCATCGCTTTCAAAGTGCAAGGCCTCTAGACAGTCATTCACACAACCCATTGTGTTTTGCTTAATCCATTCATCTGAACTCCTTTAATTCAATTGAATTCATTAAACTCCCTGAGTTCGGTTCATTCTGTTCAATTCTTCGCAATCGCTTATTTTATTCAATTCCATGCCTTCCGCTCATTCCATCCACTTGTGTCCCCTGATGACATTACGTCATCAGGGATGTTTTTGCAGAGCATAGCGAAAGTATGCTTAACTCGCTGGAAACCTGACTCTGTCTGGCGATCTGATGTACTTGTCTGCAAAATGTGGCGCAACACAGTACAGCAAGTACTAAATATCATTCCATTTTCTCCAACACAATTGTTTTTGAGTTGGGGAGACACGTGAGATGTGTCGTGCTTCCGTGTTGCATTTAAGCATACATTGATTCATTCAATTCGCTTCTCTTCAACCAGGTTCAAAATCAGATAATGGATTAATTGCGTGAGCGAATATTCGCTCCAACTCACCGCGCAGGTTGCTCCCAGGTACATCAAGGACGCCACCAAGAGGGGCATGCGTTACATGACCGTCACCGACTTCACGCACCTGCGCTCCGGCAAGGGCCACATCAAGATGTACAACTCCCTGATGCCCCTGGGCGTGGTGGGAGGCATCACGGAGGAGGAGTTCGTGGGCCTGGGGAAGGACATGAAGGACAGCGGCGACGACAACCCGGGAGGCCTGTCCCGAGGGGCTCGATTGTCGAACGGCGTCGTGATTCCAGGGCCTGCAGAGCGTGTGCAGGTGGGCGCGCGGTGGCAATGCCAAGCGCAAGAAGAAAAGAGAGAAAGCAGAAATCGTAAGGAGAGAAAGTCCTCTCCTTTCTCTTCCTACGTTTTGTTTCTCTTCCTACGTTCATCCATGCGTCCAGTGCTTTGCTATGTTTTCCACTTGCCATATGTTCTTTAACTTCAACGTTCTTGTGCTTCCGATTGTGTGTTTGCTCTGGTTTTTCAGCTTGGATTATTCGTAGGGGAATTTGGCCCACAGGCCACAGGAAGTTGTTCAGCTTCCAGATACCAAATTGGAATGCGTGCAAGTGCACGATATACAATTTCTTACCTTTGTATTTTTTATCTTTGAAATTTTTTACCTCATCTAGTCTTCTACACAGTTTTGATACAAGAATTGTTGCACCTTTTTAATGAAACTCTGACACACAGGTCAATGCACAGCTTGAATAAAAATGCCTGGCGACATGTTGCGCAATGGCGCGGAATCGTCTGGTTGCATTGAAAAAACGCGGGTGATGATATCCTTAGTCCATCAGATCGCGGAACAACACTCACTGCCCCACGGCACTTTGTGCCCCCTTTCCCTGATGGGTGTTCTGTGGCCATGTCCTGGTTCCAGTACATAGCCTGCCAGAATCTCCTTGGCACTACTGGCATGAAACTCACTGCTTCACAGCACATTCTGTCGCACTTTCCCGAAATAAAAAGCCCTTTTCTGTAGGAAAAGGGTTATTCTCCTGGAACAAAGGTGTGCTCCGCGCAGGTGGTCATGTCGTGGGTGCACCAGATCGTCCTGGAGCGCCGCCGCGAGGGCGGCCTGGCCATCGAGGCGCCCATCCTCACCCGCGTCTACCAGGTCCTCTCGGAGGGCATGCTGGGCTTCGAGCAGTCCCGCAAGATCATGGACACGCCCTTCCCCTTCCCCTGGGTGCAATTCGCCACCGTCTGCCTGCTGCTGTACGCGCTCACGGTGCCCATTGTGATCTCTGCGTACATCACGGAGGACTGGCTGGCGTTCCTGCTGACGCTGTTCGCCGTGATGACGTACTACGCGCTGAACGAGGTCGCACGGGACCTTGAGGACCCGTTCATTTACGACCCTAACGACCTGCCCATGGCCAGGTGCGGGTGCCGCCGCAGATTCGTCGATAGGCGCGATGCTTTTATCGACTGCGAGGATTTATTTATTAAAAAATAAATGGTAAAAATTTACCATCACATGTTTTATGTATCTGATGGTGAAAGAACATATGAAGGCAATGTTTCCTTTTCGGTGTTTCGGTATCGAGATTTTGTGTTTGAGTTTCAGGCTCCAGGTGCCTCATGCATCATAGCGCAAAGAACGTGGGATTTGTGCCATCAGACGACAATGCGCAAGACGATGCGTGAGCGTTGTTTGCTTGTTTACTTGGCGCATGACTGTGCGCCAAGTGAGCAGGTCCATCATAATTGAGCAGCGCAAAACTTCAGTAACTGCAGTAGATGTGACTGCAGGATTATCTCGCGGGAGTGAGGCAAAACAGTAATATTCAGAGGTTTTGAAAAGAGCAAATGGGAGTAAAGTGGAAATACAAGGTTACGTGGATATAAAGCATAGGGACAGTGAGACTCAGGAGAAGCTGCTGATGCTGGTGTCGTTTTTGTTGAAGTCGCGTTGCAGCTGTTCTTGGGACGAGAGCTTTCTTTGTTCATCCAGTGTCTATTATCTAAGTTTGTTTCCTCCAGTTGCGCACACTTGTGCTGATTTCCACAGCCCATTCGCCTTCAATGGATTGATCCTGTATAGGACCCACCCACCACGTCTTACGACATCAGGACGTCACGCACGATGACGCCAGAGACACATGTCCCTCTCCAGCACAAAGCTCTTGCTCAGGCTAGTAGAATCTCTAGGCAAATCTAGCAGAACACTTTGTGCTTTGCAGTACTTTGCTCTGAGCGAAATTTTCGGGAGGGGTGTAATTTAATCAACCAGCAGTCGCACGAGAAGCAAAAGCAGCTTGGAGATACCTACCGTTGTGGATTTTGTTCACATTCTCATGTGCCCCATGCACCCATGAACATTGCACAAGAGCTGATGTCAACATAGGTATGAGTCAGCCGCTTATATTGTGATCGAATCAACCACCGATCACATGAAAAGAAAGGCAACTTGGGAGATTCCAGCTCTCGCCCATTCTGTTCATATGCCCATGCTGCTCATACACACTCCAAAAAGGTACATGCTTCATTGCACAGAGAACTCTGTGGTGATCCACAGATAGAGAGTCTACTGTAGACACAACTATGGAGCACCACTGATTTTGTGAAAACGCAATTTTTCCTCGTTATTTCGCTTGACGCCCTCCCTTACACCCTCCCAGGCACCAATACGCCTTCAACGAGCGCATCTTGTCGCTGTCCGGCACCAAGCGGCCCTTCAGCCCCACAGAGATGGGCGCCGCGAGGCTGCGCACCATCGTCAGAAAAGACTCCATGGGCGACAGGCGGACAGCCGCGCCGGCGGGCAACAGCCCAGCGCAGGAGGCGCCTTCCGATGCGCCGAATCGAACCGAATCGTATCGGAATCGAATGGAATCGAATCGGAATCGCATCGGGGGGGAGGCCAGCCTGGATGTGAGGCTGTTCGAGGGGGACGAGGGCGAGCCGGATTTGAACGTAGTCCTAGATTTGAGGGCGGAGTCGGCGGCGCCCAGCAGGGGCGATCAATAGCGCTGTGACGTTCTGGCCATTTCTTGTTTGTTGCTTTTGCAGAGTATGGGTAATGCAGTGCATTCACACGCCGCTCCTTTTCTGACTGAGATGCGTCTAGCGGCGACTCGCGAGAGAGTGCAAGGGGGTGGATAGCTGCGGGCGTGGGTGCTTGGCTAACTTTGTCCCGACAGGTGCTTAGAAAACGGGAGCACAGGTTGTGCGTGGGAGGGTGCCCCCGTGGCAAGAACAGCGTGGGCTGACTCAGCGCTATGAAGCGTTGGTGTGTTTGTAAGTCTGGCGAAAGTGCGTCTGTCTTGAGGAGCAAAAGTGGGTGTTGGCGCTTAGCGGGTAATTACCGAATACTTATAAGTATTCCGACCACTCGCACCTGGCCCTTCATCGCAGGGCTCGGCGCGGTTGGGAGCGGTTATGCTGGCAGACATGATGCCATGTGTGCACCATGCTTTGATCGGCACGTCTGAACTCTGGTACGCTTGGCCAGTGCGTGTGCCAAGGGCGCAGAGATCCCGCAAAGCAACAAGAAAAGAACACATTAAATTTAAAAAAATGTCAAAAATAAATCGTCGGGATGACGCTCTGCAGGGCGTCCGTCCGCACAGCACTGTCCGCAGCGCTTTTCTCCTTGATCAGTCTCCTCAGACCACCCAGAGGAGCTCGCCCCCAACATGCCAAGACAATACAAGACCATACAAAACGGTGTCCATCAACAGCTACATCAACCCCAGGCACCCGTCCACGTTATTGTACCCACGCGCTTGGCCCTACTTGACAACACACCAAAGATGACTCAACCCTGAATCGGGCCCCCAATCTTGCAGTTCTTTCCTCGTTCAACTCCGTCCCAACGGAGCTCGCATTCTAAGGGCGGTTTCCGGGCGGTTGCAAAACAAGACAGTGGTGGAAGCCGAGGACAACATAAATATGTCCTCCCCGACGCCCGAAAGCCGGCCACGCCCAATGGCGCCAAAACCAAAACTCGAATCCTCAGACCGTCCTTGGACGCCTCGGAGTTTACCTGACCCAAGGTACAGATAGAACAGAAACGGAGAGGCGCGGCTCACATTGGCCTTACTTGGTCGACCGCCATTTCCAACCATTCAATCACCGCCGCCACCCACCCCCGTCGCCCTTGGCAGAAATCCAAACAAGATGGCCAGTCTCATGAATCTCCTTCATATGTAGTCCCTGAACCCAACGACACCAGGAATTCACCCCCTCTGCCCTGAGCATCTCACAGAGGGCAATTCAGACAGGGCGCCTCACGGCATACACCACAGCGATCATGTCAATCGAAGCCACGATCGCCAGTGCGGCGCGATCCACAACATCGGCTCCCAACTCGAGACTTCCACTGGAGTCCACTAGCCGTGCGGCGGATGAGTCACCAGAAATTGGTGATGAATAAAAAGCACTTAGACAATCACAGCAGCCGAACACCGGCAAAAAAAAGACCGAATAACACTTTTTCGAGCACACGTAAAACACATTTCATCAAAGTTCTGCATGCTAAGAGCACAAAAATAACACAAACACGTAAACTTTGTACACGTTTGAGCACGTGTCATTTTGCCCTTTTTCCCTAGTGGAATGCACACATCCAGGGAATGGTGTTTGGAACACGCTTCCATTCAGCTCACGCCCCTGCCCCAGGGCAACCTGGGAGATCTGCGCGGTTGAGAGACATCGACATTAATATTCTGTGCATCGAGATGAGCTGCAATGCCACATGCTTTGGCGCAATACATCCAAGCGCATTCGTGATATCAACATTGTACCAAAAGTAATTCCCATTTATGATGTCGGAATAGCGGTCGGAACATACGGCGTAAAGCATGCCCCTCGCGCGACAACTAGATTGAGGCTCGCAACACTCATTTCGTTTCTTGAAATCAGACTTGCTATTTACGCCGGAAACACAGATTATAATAACGTTTTTACGCGTACAAACATTTTCGCATTTTTACAACTAAACGTAAATGCATCCCCGTGTACATAAGAACAGCACATGCAGACTTAGGGAGTCCGAGGGTTGGCAGCAGGACGCCCTGGAGTCGGTAGAAAACGAAGTTTTGTTCCATGCCGTCTTTGCCCTTTCCGAGGGCGATGTGGACGCTGTGTTCCGCATGTTTGAGGGGGCGAAAGATTGATCATTGTGCGCGACTTCCTTCTTGCAACTTGGGTGTCGCAGCGAGCCGCAAAAGCGTAAATACAGCCGCAAAAGTAGCCCCTTTTGCAAATTTACGTTTTTGCGCGTAAAAATGTTAACGCAAAAACGCAAACGTAAATAACAAGCCTGCATGAAATCTAACTGTACACAGCACCAAACCTTTAACGTCTCTGACCCAATCCAGCCCTCTAGTTTCAAGGTGCGAGTCTATCGGACGCCGGTGCTGAATGGTTCGCCTACGGCACGATGCCCACCGCAATATCGCTTGTACGTCTGGATGTGTTGTTGCGGCCTCCATCCCCCTCAGTGGGGCTGTCCGTGATCATGATGGCATCCCCTGAGCAGCCTCTCACAGCCCAGCATCAAACACGAGGGCGAGAGTTCGACGTTGGAAGTCGCACAAATGGCGCATGATCAAGTGGTGCACGGTAGCCTATAAGGTTTGGCAGACACTGTGGTTATACTTTGTACAAAGCTCGCGTTGAATGCTCGATACGCAATGAATTGCGGTTTTGGAAATTTTCAGTACAAGCGTTTGTGCTTCCGTCCAATGTGTCCATGGGAACCACTACCATTCATGGGACAATACATCGCAGAGGCTCGAACAGTTTGATTCTCTTTTTGGCCAAATAAATAGGCTGGGCCTCAAAGAATTGTTGAAATTACTCATCGCAATTCCGCGTCCTTCAAATGTCTCGTCGGATAAATTTGCATATTCTGGATATGTGTATCCAGGATATGGCCATATCCTGGCCCATATCCTGGCCATATCCCAGGATATGGTTCCCATATCATATTCAATATCTTGAATATGGGGCGCCTCCATATCCTATTCCGAGGTACCTAATGGGGACTTTGTTCAGTGCGATTAGCTCTTTGGCAATGCGGATATGGGCCATTTCATATGGGTGGCGGCAGTCTTGGGCTCCAAAGCATGTACAGCCCCTCAGCGGGCCGGTGCGTAAAAGCGCCAGATTCCCTATTGCATTTTGTTCACAGTTTTCCCCGCAATGTTGCGTTTCAAACACAGATATTACTCTCGCTGGGTTTAAGATCTAACAGGTTACTTAAGCATGTGTCTGTCATTGCAGAGCAGGCACAAGAAATAAATCGGCCAAAGTACACGGCTTCCATCCACGTGAAATTCGTGCAAGACCGCGCCCAATCTTCTAAGAGTCACGTACACTGACACAATCGTTGCTACAGGTTTTGATGCCATTTTATACGATAATTTCTCGACGAACACACGATTTCCTACGAATTTTTATGTAATTTTAAATCGTATTTCAGGGTACATTATTATCGAAACCGTGTATTTTGGCCTACTTTTCAATACTAAGAATTGCTCTGTTTGTTGTTTGTTGGATGCTTTCCCAGAGAAGTAATTGGAACAACATACTCTAGAAATACAAGGTTTGTCAGATTCCCCTGTCCACTAAATGGACACGTAAAGTTGTGTTTATTCATGTTGGGCGTTTGAATTCGAAATGATGGCCAGGAGGACAATTTCGAATTCCTTTTGAATGAGTTATATTCATCTATTCCGAAGCATGGGCGATCTGCCGATGCTGATAGAATCCGTTCACCATTTGATAGTCTATCAGGGCTGAGCTCGATTTAGGGGAAAGATGTCACTTTGAATTAGATACTATTAATGCCCTGCGGACGCTAGGGGCGGTGGGAACTAGTGCGTAGATGCCAATAAAGGACTACGTTACTGTACTGAATGGAAATAAGGCGGAAGAAGGAAAATGGAACGCCGTGGCGGCATGCAGAAAGGACCCTGTGCAAGCACTTCTTTCGTGCCCCTGATGCGCAATTTCAGCTACGGCGGGTTTGGCGGCTGCCGTCGCGGCGCACCTGTCCATAGAGTGTCCATGCCCCTGATTGCGTCGATGTCAGACAGGGCCTAAGGTATATCTGGTGGTCAGAGGGGCCAAAGTCTCGGCGATCAGCAAGAAATGCTTAACGCTGATCAGCAGCTGCTTGCCAATCGACACCATGTAATCTGGACCTGGAAGTCATGAATTGGCGACCAGCAGATGAAACCAAGGAAAGGGCCTCTGGAAGGAAGGCCGGCGTGCAGGGACAGGAGCTGGCATTGATTGCAGTGGAAAGGTCATGCGTGCGTTGGAGCACTGGCAATCATTAGCACCAGGTATCTGCAGTGGTAGGTGCTCGTTTTGTCAATCTAGATTTGGGCAGCTATTGCATTGCGCGAGCGAGGGTGATCGTGGGTGCAGCGGAACCTTCGAGCGCAATGGGGCGGGGAAGGTTCAAGGTAGGAAATTGTTTCTTGGGATGATCAAGAGGGTGTGTTGCGGAATTGCAGAGCGGCGCACGGTGCAAAGTTCGGGGCTATTATCCTGGTTGGTACGCCATAGCGCCACAACCCAGCGTCAACGGTGCAAGAACTTCACAATACAGTGTTTCAGTGCTGTGTACTGACTTAAGTAGTGCCATAACATCAAAAAAAGGAATAAAGTTGTTTGTGCGTGTATGTGTGGTGTGTGTGTGTGTGTGTGTGTGGTGGGGTGAGGTGGGGTGGGGTGGGAGGAAGGTAAATCTCTGAACTTAGCATCCGCTGAGTGTTATGCGCACTAAAACAAAATAATGTCTTCCCTTAATTGATGTGGTAACCACGAAGTACGTTAAGTTTATGCACTGACGCTACACACACTAAGGGATTACTATGACATTATTAGCATGCCACCTTCCAATCTGCCACCCTGATTTCAGCTGGAAGTGGTTGTTCTGCGCACGGTCTAGGTTCCAAGTTATGGCACAACTGGACACAGTTTCTCCAGGCAGAATTGGTTCTGTGGGCATC